ATTTTGCTGGCAAAAAATTTTTTTTTTTTTCCCTTTCAACATCCCTTTGGGGTGATTTTCTTTAGGCCCCCACCTGAATTGGTTTTCACTACGGCTTAGCTGTTGTAAACTAATCAGCAGGTACTCGTATGCGTGAATAACCATGTGGGTAAGCTAGCTGCTTACCTCAGTTGCTACACCGCACCGCGAATACAAAGTAACCTACAATAACTACACAACAGCTACCCCAACAGCCACGATGCCTACCTATACTCTTAATAATAACAGCCCACGATGCCTACCTATATACCTAACTACATCTAATCCTAGTTTAGCTTACTCGACAAAGCCAGCATGTATAAGCCAAACTGGCAGACGCAATCAGTAGCCGTAATTATACAGCAGCTACCAACCACCTAACGTTAATGATAATGAGGTTAGAAAACGCGAAGGTGACGCTAGCTGGCTCAATCACAGGTACTCTAAGCCTGAATAACATGGAAACCATTAACCACTGTTGCTAAAAGTTAGCTACCCGCTAGCTAGCTAGCTAGCTTTGTTGGTCCAAGTAGTGGGTAAGCTAGCCTCGTGCTTCGCCGGGGTCCGCCGAATACAGTCCTTACCTACAATAATTACCTACAATAACCTACAATAACTACCTGAGTAAACTACCTATAATACCTAACTACAATACCTACCTACAATCTAAATACATGGTTTAAGCTTTACTCAACACCATATAAGAAGCCAAGCTTACCTCCTGCTAGAGAAAACACAACCTCTCCCTCTCCCGACCTCTCTCTCCATGCGTAAAGAAAAATTCCATCCAAAAACTATCTTTTGGTATTTGTTTCATTAGTCCATTGTTGACATAGTCTCAAAATGTTTTGCTTGTCAGAAATCAAGTTGTCAAGATATGTAACTTTCAAAATACAGAAATCATCCTCGTATGATGCATTTTGCATCATATGATGCAAAACTCAGCACCATACGATGCAAAATGCATCATACAGGGATGATAGCTGGTCTGTTGAGCCCTAGCCTAGTTTCATGGTCCCAAATGGCACCTATTCCCTACATAGTGCACTACTTTTGACCACAGCCCTATAGGAAATAGGCTGTAATTTGGGACACAGACAAGGTTTCTCTGATCTGCTGGATAAAGTGGACTTTCCCTTTCCGCAGATCAGCGGTTGAGTTACAAATGGAACCCTTTTTCCTACATAGTGCTCTACTTTTGATCAGGGCCCATAGGGCTTTGGTCCAAAGTAGTGCACTCTAAATGGAACTTAGTGCCATTTGGGACAGCCGCGCAGTTGAGGTTTTCTTTCAGTTTCCTCCTTCTTTCTGCTAATGTAATTGGACACCACTGTGGGAGGTTGTCCTCTCGTTGCCCCTGGTTACAAGCTACGAGTCAGTAGGGTGGAGGCCCAGGGGTGGGAAGCTAGGGGTGGAGTTGGACCTGAGGGAAGGGAGGGGGAGAGAGAAGGGAGAGGAGGGAGGAGGGAGACACTCCTCAAATATCAGAGTAGTGCTACATTCTAGGCCCTGCTGGGGCCGCACCCTGTGAATCCTGCGGCTCTGCCCTGGCAAATCTCTGTGTGTGTGTGTGTTTATCGTCGCATTTATTGTATATGTGTGTGTATTTTCTTCAACGGTGTGATGATATATGCTTCAGAATGACAGGAATAAAGTGTTCTTGGGAAACAAATTGGATTTGCAGCCGTAGTGCCGGGATTCACACACACACACACGCACACACACACCCACCCACACACCATCTCCTCGACCTCAACTGAAAACCTGTTAATCTCTCAGTTATAATTTTCGCAAACAACAATCATCTGGTTAGATAATATGTTCCATACAGTTATTTGGACCAGGCTGCTGTGATGCCATGCAGATTGCAGTTTTTGTGTTTATACTTTTTCATAATGACAAGGACAACTTTGTTGCCGGACAACAATGATAGAATGTTAAAGAGCGACTGCCCCAAAAAGCAACTAATCCCTTTTTGGCATCGATATGAGTCAGAAACATTTATTGTATTGTCAAAATTGACTACAAAGTGTAAATAGGATAATTTTGGTCATAAGTTCAGCCTCGTCTAAAACAGAGTTTGGAACCTCAGTGCGTCACAAGAGTAAATGGTTGGGTTTCAGTGCGTCACAAGAGTAAATGGTTGGGTTTGGATTAAAATTATGAAAACAAATCATGCCCCCTTTTGCCAAGGTCCATGTGCAAATCGCCCCTCCGCCCACTTCGCTTCCCTTCATTGAACGGGGCTCCGTTGTTTTATGGCCCCCAATGCGTTCAAAGGACAGCAGAATGAAAAGCCCTATACGGATTGACCATGCCTCCACAGCCAAAGTTCTATGTTTTGCATGCCGTGCAGAAGGACCCTTGTATGTGGAAATAGGTGGTTGGAGTTCGTCGGCCCCCAAGTCTGCACCAATAATGCTAGCTTAGTGTGCAATGACCGGTGGTGGTGAGTATAACCAGAGATACTGGAATATAATGACCTCTTTGGTATAACTTAGGTAATGACGTTAGATACTTACATAACCAGCAATAACGTTATCTATCTTTTGATAAAGCAGGCAGGCTAGCTAACGTTAGCATTGCTAGCTAGATAACTAGCAAGCTACCTAGCTACCTCATTACAACTTAGTTAGGTCATAGCTCAGACAAGTGTATTGTGTATTGTCTAGATACTTCTGGTTATGTAACGTTTCTCATTTGATAATGTTAGCGAGGCAGGCTAGCTAGCTAGCTACAAGGTAGCTTGCAGCTCATAAAGTGTATTCTGTATTGTCTATGGCAAAACAAAATATTGGATGCAGCTATGGCGGTAGCTAACTCATGTCTGAGTCTGACTAATACACCGAACTAGCCAAAAGCCAAAAAAGAGGCCAAATCAGCGTGTGCAGTTCCCCTTTAATAATTGAATGCGTGCTAAAGACGGTAATATGAAAGCCGACGTTTATACATTACCGCAATCATGGCTAGGTCGGATGGCGGAAATAAAAGTACAGGCTTTGTTGCGGGCAATACCTTTCAGATATAAAGAAAAGTTGGTGGAATGTTAAAGTTGGCGGGTTTTCATCTCTGTTTGAAAGGAATATTAGTCTGCTCTCTCTCTGCTCCCTCCAGTCATGCACTCTGATCAGCTCTTCATAAAGAGGTGGGTGTGAGGTCACCATTCTGCTTTCTCACTCCCTCTCAACTCCCCTGTCTGTGCCCCTCACTTAGCCTACCACATGCATTGACACACACACACATAAATGTAGATATGCACACATATCCCTCACACACACTCCTCAAGGGCCTGTAGAGGTGGATGTGCATTCCTTGAGTCTGGGCTATAAGGTCTAAGTGGGATAGGTGGTTTATTTTCTCTGTGGAGTGTACTGTACTGTAAGAGGCTAGAACAGTAGTGTTTGTATAGACACCTCAATGCACATCCACAAACAAAGATGAACATATTTTACTGTATCGACACATAATAGTTAATAATAATAATTGATTGGATTTATATATAACTTTTCCACCTAGGTGCTCAAAGCACTTTACATAGTAAGGGGGAAACTCATGTCATCCACCACCAATTTGTGGCACCCGCTTGGGTGATTCATGGCAACCATTTGTGCCAGGACGCTCAGCACACATCACATTTGTACTCTCCCTAAGCAGGCTTCTGTATGTCTGTATGTCAAGGTGTAGACTGTGACTCATGTATTACTGTTCTGTTCGATGCACCTGTATGAATGAATGAAGTAAAGGTCAACTTGTTTATGTCTGGAGATACAGGTGTTATTATGACTGATGACTTCACTTCACTCTCTCTTTCTCACGCCGCACGAACACACGAATGCATGCACGAATGCAGCCGAAACAGTTTGGTAGAGTTCGTGCATATCATGATGACATTTTGTTAAGTTTTTGTTTGTTTTGGACTTCGGTGAGGGTTTTTTCGGTTGTTCGGGCACACAAAACATTTTCTGGAGGCAAGCCGAAGTTCGGAGCCAAAGTCTACGCCCCTTCGTCTGTGATTGGTCAACAGTATGGATTCTTCAATACATTCTTTGTTTCTTTGACAACTCATTTTCATGCAAATTTTTTAATTGAAAAATACTGCACCAAACATTTTAGTTAGATGTAAAATTGCACGAGTAAGATCTCTTCGGCAAACACGTCAAAATAAATGACAGATTTCTTGAGTTATCTTAGATTAATTCTGACTTTTGAGGAAGTGTATACTGGCTACGGCGTCTCAAAAATGGAAAAACAGTACTATTGCCGCTTTTTTTCACATTTTAAGGGAGTATGCGAGCACACTCGTGTGGTTCGGCTAGGCGCCAGCCGAACTGAAGCATGCTGAGGCCTTTACCCTTACCCCAACCCTAACCCTAATTGTAACCCTAAACCTAACCCCTAAGATTAAAATAGCCTTTGTCCTCATGGGGACGTGGGAAATGTCCCCACGAGGGATAGTTTTCCTTGTTTTCCTATCCTTGTGGGGACTTTGGGGGGTTTTAGGTACCCACAAGTATAGAAGAACCAACCCACACCTACACCTAACAAAGGAAAGGCCTAATACTCAGGGTGACATTTTTATTACAATAGCAAATTTACAAACGTTGGATAATAAATTAGATAAACACTTATAGTCAACATAGATAGTAAAACACACAAACACACACACACAGTTGGGAAGGTTTGGCGTGGGTGGAGTCCAGACCAGAGATAAGACAGGACAGGAGGCGGGACAGTCCCTCCCGGTAAACCTGTAGGAGGTGATCGTTACCGCCAGCCCCAGAGCGGACTCCGTACCCCCTCACAGCCTGTCTCTCTCTCTTAGTCTCAATTCTTCCCGACACACCCTTGGAATGAATGTGTGACCTCAAATAATTACAAAGGCTCTACCCATCCCTCGCGCCGCACCGCACCCGGGCTTCACCGAACGACTTCTGTCCTTTTAGGTAGGGCACGATCATCCAGACGTCTGTTTATTCATCCAGCCGCACCATGGCCCCGGGCGTCTTTTGCGTCAGCCTGCTCGCTGTGGTGAGTGAGGGAAACCGCAAACAATTTTGTCTTGAAAGTTGCAATAGCTGACTTGGGGAATAGCTTTACCATTATGTTACTTTGCTCTGATGAAGCTAGACAATAACCCACACACTGGTTGAATCAATGTTGTTCCCACGTCATTTCATTGGGATCCGTTGTTTTCGATATTTTCCCCGAAGAAAATGTAAAATGTTGAGGGACTTCAGTTCAGCTTTAAAAGTCGGTGGGCAGTCCAGTCCTCCATGTCTGACCACTGCGCTTATCTCATGCAGAAGTTTCGTGAGCAAATCGGTGTGGAATGTAGCACAGAAATGACAGACTTATGTTGTTGAGCTGAAACTTTGTATAAAATAAGCATGATCCGTGTTCTCTAGTTTAGGCTATACTTATTTGTCAAACTGAGTAGTCCTGTCTAGATCTTTTGCAAATGCATTCATTAGTTATACATTTCATTGATACAGCACTCTGGCTGCGAATGAGGTTAATGATTATCGAAGGCACTACGAGTTATAAAAACAACAAAGGCCTGGGAAAGGAGAGTCCAGATAAGACGTGTTGATAAGCTGCTGTAAAGCTGAAATATTTTCAAATAGCCTAGTGAGTAGCGGCCCATGTTGACATATTGTTTTGAGCCATTATGACCAGGCTACTCCATATAGGAAAATACGAACAGCATTAGGCCTACTCATTGCTCAACAATGACCCACCAAAACATCCTATACTGTTTCTGAGACTAATATATTGGAAATATTGCTTAAAAGAACCCATATCCCAATCTGGGATTCAAAAAACAAAGCAGTCACTGCACCACTTGTTTTGATAAACAGTTAATGAAAAAAAAATGGATGTACCAATCCCACATTTAAGATAAAACTTGAATAGGTAGTATTGCCTTTGACTCAGGCTACAGTTATCATTGTATGTTATTCACATGTCTACTGGTTTCCTCACACTTGCTAGAATGAGTCAGGCACTCTTCAGCAGTGGTATTACTATAGACCTATTGGTTCAAACACATTTTAGGAATGTGAACCGAGTGTGATCGGAAAACTGGTCTGTCCAACAAAAGGAGTGTATTATTTACTGATAGAAGAAATCAGCTGTCAACACATATACTCATTATCATCGCCATCATCACTACCACCTTCATAATCAATGAATCAGAATAATTGGAAGTGAATAGTAAAGTTTAAGCATAGGGGTCTAAAAAAATTAAGGTTATGTTTAGGAACTATGGTTAGGTTAAGGTTAGGTATTTTCAGTGAAGCTAGAATCCCTAGTTTCTACATCAATATTTGGACTTATAAATTAATTATATATATATATATATATACCAGGGGTATTCAACTCTTACCCTACGAGATCTGGAGCCTGCTGGTTTTCTGAGCTACCTGATAATTAATTGCACCCACCTGTTGTCCCAGGTATAAATCAGTCCCTGATTAGAGGGGAACAATAAAAAACGCAGTGGAACTGGTTTCGAGGTCCAGCGTTGAGTTTGAGGGAAATATGCTCTTTGATTCTTGAAGAATATAACTTATAAATGCCTCATGAGCTTAGTTCAACATACCCCATTAAAATCCAAAATATACGCTTGTTCTATTTAAATGTTTGTAAACAACATAAATGTAAACAAACACTGTACAGCCTCAAAACTAGTGATGGGGGAAGAAATCGATACAGTTACATATCACAATATTATTTGGGACGATATCATATCGATACTTTGACTCCAAGTATAGATTTGTAGATTATTATGTTTTGGCTAGGTAGTGTTAGCAAGCACTAGTCGGCTGTCCCTGTGCCAAAACGCCAGTATTTTTCATCCTATAGCTTGTTTTCCATCTTCTTTTTAAATAGTGAGCCAACATGTTTTCAGCACTTATATTTTGCGACGGTGAGTGACAAGGAGTTGGCAGAAACGGATCTGGGGGTTAATGTATCACTGCCAATAAAGAATTGAAAACATGGACAGTAGGAGAAGGAGAGTGACAAAGACAGGATGAAAGACATGTTCTCTCTGTTCTCTCTCAGATCATGGCTCAGTCTGTTGAGTGCTGTGTTCCTCATTCCATCCAAGCCCAGGTCCCAGTGGAGGTCAGGCCTGGCTATGTCATCTCTCAAGGTAGGCCTATAACACCTGCCTATCTGTGTGTGTAGCCTAGTCAATGTAGTTAGTGACAGTAGTGTTTTGTGTGTGAGTTATGTTTGCCTCACTGCCTGTAGTTACCGTGGCCCGTATTCACAGAGTTTTAGAGTAGGATATAGGATCAGATTTCCTTTTTAGATTGTACTGAATAAGTTTATGGATAGAGAAGACCTGATCCTAGATCAGCACTTATACTCTGAAACTATTTGTGAATACGAGCCAGAGTGTTCTGACAGTGTGTGTGTGTGTGTTGCCCAGTGTAGTAACAGTGTGTATTCTGTGTGTGTGTTCTTTGTGTGTGTTCTCTGTGTTGTCCAGTGCCAGTGGCAGGGTGTCACATACAGGGACAGTGGCTGACATCCAGTGACCCCCACTTCGCCATGCGGAGCGACGGCACCATCGTCACGGTGGATGTCACCACGGTTACAGCGGAGGGCAGGTCCTTCTGGGTGAGGGGGAGGGATGGGGGAGGACGGCGCTGGAGGATGGAGGTCCGTCTGTCCCCAGACCCTGAACAGGTGCGGAATACCTGGGAGAAAGAGAGAGATACACAGAGAGAGAAAGAGACTTTTGAATGCCTTTACTGTAACATTACTGAATCACACAATGAATCATACATGTGACGTACAGTATTGAGTCACAAACAGAAGACACACTCAATACTCCCCACCAACCCCTCTACTCAAACCACCCTCTACAACAGAAAAGCAATAATAGATATATATGTGAGTCTTCTGGTAAGGTTTAGAAAGTAGACTGCTTGTATGTTTACTTATCACTGTGACACTGTCCTTATAGGAGCATATTCAAGTACCCATGAGGGTGCCCTTAAACGTGCCTGCACAGAAAGGGGCCCAGAGGGGTCCTTCTGAGGTCCTGAGGCGCTCTAAAAGGAGATGGAGTCCTCTCCCGTTCAGCATCATAGAGCAGGACATCCCACCGTTCCCCAAAGACGTAGAACTGGTGAGGACATGCATCATTATCACTCTCCTCACATCCTCCCTTCTCTTTCCTCATGTATCCCATCGGTCTTACTCTCCTATCCCTCTTCTATCACCTTCCCCCCTCCTCATCTCAATCACCTTCCCCCTCCTCATCTCAATCACCTTCCCCCTCCTCATCTCAATCACCCCCCCTCTCCTCATCTCAATCACCCCCCCCTCTCCTCATCTCAATCACCTTCCCCCCTCCTCATCCAAGTCACATTCCCCCCCTCCTCATCCCAGTCACCTTCCCCCCTCCTCATCCCAGTCACCTCCCCCCCTCCTCATCCCAGTCACCTTCCCCCCCTCCTCATCCCAGTCACCTTCCCCCCTCCTCATCCCAGTCACCTTCCCCCCCTCCTCATCCCAGTCACCTTCCCCCCTCCTCATCTCAATCACCTTCCCCCTCCTCATCTCAATCACCCCCCCTCCTCATCTCAATCACCTTCCCCCTTCCTCATCCAAGTTACCTTCCCCCCCTCCTCATCCCAGTCACCTTCCCCCCTCCTCATCCCAGTCACCTTCCCCCTTCTCATCTCTGTCACCTTCCCCCCCTCCTCATCTCTGTCACCTTCCCCCCTCCTCATCCCAGTCACCTTCCACCCTCCCATCCCAGGGTTCTCATCCCAGTCACCTTCCCCCCTCCTCATCCCAGTCACCCCCCCCCCTCCTCATCCGTCACCTCCCCCCTCCTCATCCCAGTCACCTTCCCCCCCATCATCCCAGTCACCTTTCCCCCTCCTCATCTCTGTCACCTTCCCCCCTCCTCATCTCTGTCACCTTCCCCCCCTCCTCATCTCTGTCACCTTCCCCCCTCCTCATCCCAGTCACCTTCCACCCTCCTCATCCCAGTCACCTTTTACCTTCCACCCTCCTCATCCCATTCTCCTTCCACCCTCCTTATCCCATTCACCTTCCAACCTCCTCATCCCAGTCACCCCCCCCTCATCCCAGGTTCTCCCCCCCCCCCCCCCCCCTCAACCCAGGCACCTTCCCCCCTCCTCATCCCAGTCACCTTCCCCCCCTCCTTATCCCTGTCACCTTCCCCCCTCCTCATCCCTGTCACCGTCCCCCCCCCCTCATCCCAGTAACCTTCCCCCTCCTCATCCCAGTAACCTTCCCCCTCTCCTCATCCCAATCACCTTCCCCCCCTCCTCATCCCCATCACCTTCCCCCACTCCTCATCCCAGTCACCTTCCCCCACTCCTCATCCCAGTCACCTTCCCCCTCCTCATCCCAGTCACCTTCCCCCTCCTCATCCCAGTCACCTTCCACCCTCCTCATCCCAGTCACCTTTTATTTTCCACCCTCCTCATCCCATTCTCCTTCCTCCCTCCTTATCCCATTCACCTTCCAACCTCCTCATCCCAGTCACCCCCCCCTCATCCCAGGGTTCTCCCCCCTCCTCATCCCAGTCACCTCCCCCCCCTCCTTATCCCTGTCATCTTCCCCCCTCCTCATCCCTGTCACCGTCCCCCCCCCCCCCTCATCCCAGTAACCTTCCCCCTCCTCATCCCAGTAACCTTCCCCCTCTCCTCATCCCAATCACCTTCCCCCCTCCTCATCTCAATAACCTTCCCCCACTCCTCATCCCAGTCACCTTCCCCCCTCCCCATCCCAGTCACCTTCCCCCTCCTCATCCCAGTCACCTTCCCCCCTCCTCATCCCAGTCACCTTCCCCCCTCCTCATCCCAGTCACCTTCTCCCCTCCTCATCCCAGTCACCTTCCCGCCCTCCTCATCCCAGTCACCTTCCCGCCCTCCTCATCTCTGCCAACTTCCCCCCCTCCTCATCTCTGTCACCTTCCCCCCCTCCTCATCCCAGTCACCTTCCACCTTTCACCCTCCTCATCCCAGTCACCTTTCACCCTCCTCATCCATCACCCTCCTCATCCCAGTCCCCTTCCCCCCCTCCTCATCCCAGTCACCTTCCCCCCTCCTCATCCCAGGCACCATCCCCTCCTCATCCCAATCACTTTCCCCCTTCCTCATCCCAACCACCTCCCCCATCCCAGTCACCTTCCCCCCTCCTCATCCCAGTCACCTTCCCCCCTCCTCATCCCAGTCACCTCCCCCCCCCTCCTCATCCCAGTCACTTTCCCCCCCTCCTCATCCCAGTCACCTTCCCCCCCCTCTTCAATCCCAGTCACCTTCCCCCCTCCTCATCCCAGTCACCTTCCCCCCCTCCTCAGCCCAGTCACCTTCCCCCCCTCATCTCAATCACCTTCACCCCCCCATCTCAATCACTTTCCACCCCTCTTCACAAACCGGTTTTCCTTCCACCCTCCTCATCCTAGTCACCTTCCACCCTCCTCATCCCAGTCACCTTCCACCCTCCTCATCCCGCCTCCTCATCCCAGTCACCTTTCCCCCTCCTCATCCCAGTCACCTTTCCCCTCCTCATCCCAGTCACCTTTCCCCTCCTCATCCCAGTCACCTTTCCCCCTCCTCATCCCAGTCACCTTTCCCCCTCCTCATCCCAGTCACCTTTCCCCCTCCTCATCCCAGTCACCTTTCCCCCTCCTCATCCCAGTCACCTTTCCCCCTCCTCATCCCAGTCACCTTTCCCCCTCCTCATCCCAGTCACCTTTCCCCCTCCTCATCCCAGTCACCTTTCCCCCTCCTCATCCCAGTCACCTTTCCCCCTCCTCATCCCAGTCACCTTTCCCCCTCCTCATCCCAGTCAACCCCCCCCCTCCTCATCTCAATCACCTTCCCCCTCCCCCATCCCAGTCACCTCCCACCCTCCTCATCCCAGTCACCTCCCACCCTCCTCATCCCAGTCAACTCCCACCCTCCTCATCCCAGTCACCTTCCCCCTCCCATCCCAGGCACCATCCCCTCCTCATCCATCACTTTTCCCCAACCCCCTTTTTTTTGTTTTTTCCCCCTTCCTCATCGCCAACCACCTCCCCCATCCCGTCACCTTCCATCCTCCTCATCCCATCCCTGCCCCCCCCTCCTCAATCCCAGTCACCATTCCCCCCCTCCTCATCCCAGTCACCGTCCCCCCCTCCTCATCCCAGTCACCTTCCCCACCCCTCCTCATCACAGTCACCTTCCCCCCCCTTCCTTCATCCCAGTCACCTTCCCCCCCTCCTCAATCCCAGTCACCTTCCCCACCTCCTCATCCCAGTCACCTTCCTCTTCCTCCCCCCCTCCTCATCCCAGTCACCTCCCCTCCTCACCAGTTCACCCGTCCCCCCCTCATCCCAAATCACACCTTCACCCCCCCCCATCTCAATCACCTTTCACCCCTCTTCACACCGGTTTCCTTCCCCCTTCCCCACCCACCCTCCTCTCCTAGTCACCGTCACCCTCCTCATCCCGTCACCTTCCCTCCCCCCTCCTCATCCCAGTCACCTTCCCCCTCCTCATCCCAGTCACCTTTCCCCCTCCTCATCCCAGTCACCTTTCCCCCTCCTCATCCCAGTCAACCTTTCTCCCCTCCTCATCCCAGTCACCTTTCCCCCTCCTCATCCCAGTCAACCTTTCCCCCTCCTCATCCCAGTCAACCTTTCCCCCTCCTCATCCCAGTCACCTTTCCCCCTCCTCATCCCAGTCACCTTTCCCCCTCCTCATCCCAGTCACCTTTCCCCCTCCTCATCCCAGTCAACCTTTCCCCCCTCCTCATCCCAGTGACCTCCCCCCCTCCTCATCCCAGTCCACCTTCCCCCCTCCTCATCCCAGTCACCCTTTCCCCTCCCTCATCCCAGTCACCTTTCCCCCTCCTCCATCCCAGTCACCTTTCCCCCTCCTCATCCCAGTCCACCTTTCCCCCTCCTCATCCCCAGTCACCTTTCCCCCCCCTCATCCCAGTCACCTTCCCCCCCCCCCTCATCCCAGTCACCTTCCCCCCCTCCTCATCCCAGTCACCTTCCCCCCCTCCTCATACCAGTGACCCTCCCCCCCTCCTCATCCCAGTTACCTTCACCCCCTCATCTCAATAACTTTCCACCCCTCCTCATCCCAGTCACCCTCCCCCCTCCTCATCCCAGTCACCTTCCCCCCTCATCTCAATCACCTTCACCCTCCATCTCAATCACTTTCCACCCCTCCTCATCCCAGTCACCTCCCCCCTCCTCATCCCCAGTCACCTTCCCCCCTCCTCATCTAAATCACCCAATCACCCCCTCCTCATCCCAGTCACCTCCCCCCCTCCTCAGCCCAGTCACCTCCCCCCCTCCTCATCCCAGTCACCTCCCCCCTCCTCATCCCAGTCACCTCCCCCCTCCTCATCCCAGTCACCTCCCCCCTCCTCATCCCAGTTCCACCTCCCCCCCCATCCCAGTCACCCCCCCTCCCCATCCCAGTCACCTTCCCCCCCCTCCTCATCCCAGTCACCTTCCCCCCCCCTCCTCATCCCCGTCCCTTCCCCCCTCCTCATCCCAGTTCCTTTCCCCCCTCCTCATCCCAGTCACCTTCCCACCCCTCCTCATCCCAGTCACCTCCCCCCTCCTCATCCCAGTCACCTTCCCCCTTCCTCATCTAAATCACCCCCCTCCTCATCCCAGTCACCCTCCCCCCCTTCCTCCATCCCATCACCCCCCCCTCCTCATCCCAGTCCCTTTCCCCCCTCCTCATCCCAGTTCCTTTCCCCCCCCTCCTCATCCCAGTCCCCCCCCCCTCCTCATCTAAATCTCTCTCAATCACCTTCACCTTCACCCTCCATCTCAATCACTTTCCACCCCTCCTCATCCCAGTCACCTCCCCCCTCCTCATCTCAATACCTTCCCCTTCCTCATCTAAATCAACACCCCCTTCCTCATCTAAATCACCCCCCTCCTCATCCCAGTCACCTCCCCCCCTCCTCATCCCAGTCACCCCCCCCCTCATCCCAGTCACCCCCCCCTCCTCATCCCAGTCAACCTTCACCCCCCCTCCTCATCTCTTTCACCTTCCCCCCCCTCCTCACCCCCAGTCACCTTCCACCCTCCTCATCCCAGTCACCTTCCACCCTCCTCATCCCAGTCACCTTTCCCCCTCCTCATCCCAGTCACCTTTCCCCCCTCCTCATCCCAGTCACCCTTTCCCCCTCCTCATCCCAGTCACCTTTCCCCCTCCTCATCCCAGTCACCTTTCCCCCCTCCTCATCCCAGTCACCTTTCCCCCTCCTCATCCCAGTCACCTTTCCCCCTCCTCATCCCAGTCACCTTTCCCCCTCCTCATCCCAGTCACTTTTCCCCCTCCTCATCCCAGTCACCTTTCCCCCTCCTCATCCCAGTCACCTTTCCCCCTCCTCATCCCAGTCACCTTTCCCCCTCCTCATCCCAGTCACAGTTCCCCCTCCTCATCCCATCACCCCCCCCCCTCCTCACCTCATGCACCTTCCCCCCTTCCTCATCTCAGGCACCTTCCCCCTCCCCCATCCCAGTCCACCCTCCCACCCTCCTCATCCCAGTCACCTCCCACCCTCCTCATCCCAGTCAACTCCCACCCTCCTCATCCCAGTCACCTTCCCCCCTCCTCATCCCAGGCACCATCCCCTCCTCATCCCAATCACTTTTCCCCCCTTCCTCATCCCACCACCTCCCCCATCCCAGTCACCTTCCATCCTCCTCATCCCAGTCACCTCCCCCCCTCCTCCTCCCAGTCACCTTCCCAATTCAAAAAAAGATAGAGAAAATAAGGCCCCCCCCCCCCTCCTCATCCCAGTCCCCTCCCCCCCTCCTCTCGCCATTCACCTTCCCACCCCTCCTCATCCCAGTCTCCCCTTCCCTCCCTCCACCCCCTCGCCTCCCCGTCACCTTCCCAGCCCCTCCGTCCTCCCAGTCACCTTCCCCCCTCCTCCTCCCCTTCACTCTTCCCCCCCCTCCTCAACCCAGTCACCTCCCCCCCTCATCCCCATCACCTTCACCCCCCCATCTCAAATCCCTTTCCCCCCCTCTCCCTCTTCCACACCGGTTTCCTTCACCCTCCTCAGCCGAGTCTACATTAACACCCCCTCATCCCAGTCACCTTCCCCCCTCCTCATCCAGTCACCTTCCCCCCCCTTCCTCATCCCAGTCACCTTTCCTTTCCACCCTCCTCATCCCATTCACCTTTCCCCCCTCCCCGCCTCATCCCAGTCCACCTTTCCCCCCTACCTCAATCCCGTCAAACCTTTCCCCTCCTCATCCCCAGTCACCTTTCCCCCTATCATCCCATCCCTTTCCTCCCCCTCCGCATCCCAGTCACCTTTCCCCCTTCCTCATCCCAGTCCACCTTTCCCCCCTCCTCATCCCAGTCACCTTTCTTCCCCCTCCTTCATCCCATCAACTTTCCCCCTCCCATCCAGTCCCTTCCCCCTCCTCTCCCAGTCACCTTTCCTTCCCTCCTCATCCCAGTGACCCTCCCCCCTCCTCATCCCATTCCATCCTTTCCTCCCCCTCCTCATCCCAGTCACCTTTCCCCTCCTCATCCAGTCACATTTCCCCTCCTCATCCCCGTCACCTTTTCCTCCCCTCCTCATCCCCGTCACCTTTCCCCCTCCCATCCCCAGTCACGCTTTCCCCCTCCTCATCCCAGTCACCTTCCCCCTCCTCAATCCAGTCCACCTTCCCCCCCCTCCTCATCCCATCACCTTCCCCACCCTCCTCATCCCATCAACCTTCCCCCCCCTTCCCTCATACCATTGACCTCCCCCCTGCTCATCCATGTTACCTTCACCCCCTCATCTCAATAACTTCCACCACCCATCCTCATCCAGTCACCTCCCCCCTCCTCATCCCAGTCCCTTCCCCCCTCATCTCAATCACTTCACCCTCCACTCAATCACTTTTCCTCCCCTCCTCTCCCAGTCACTCCCCCCTCCTCATCTAAATCACAAACACCCCCCTCCTCATCCCAGTCACCTCCCCCCCTCCCATCCCTCACCCCCCTCTCCCGCCATCCAGTCACCTTCCCCCCCCCCTCCTCATCCCATCAACCTTCCCCCCCTCCTCATCCCAGTCCCTCCCCCGTCCCCCCTCCTCATCCCGTTCCTTTCCCCCCTCCTCATCCCAAGTCACCTCCCCCCAACCTCCTGATCCCATCACCTCCCCCTCCTCATCCCAGTCCACCTTCCCGCCTTCCCCCTTCCTCATCTAAACACCCCCCCTCCTCATCCCAAGTCACCTCCCCCCCTCTCTCATCCCCGTCACCATCAACACCCCCCCCTCCTCTCCCAGTCCCTTTCTCCCCCTTCCTCATCCCAGTTCCTTTCCCCCTCTTCCCCCCCTCCTCATCCCATTCCCCCCCCCCTCCTCATCTAATCTCTCTCATCACCTTCACCTTCAACCACCTCCTCTCAAATCACTTATCCACCCCCTCCTCATCCCAGTCACCCCCCCCTCCTCATCCTCCCGTCAACCTTCCCCCTTCCTCTCTAAATCACCCCCCTCCTCAGCCCCATCACCTCCCCCCCTTCCTCATCCCAGTCACCCCCCCCTCCTCATCCCAGTCACCTCCCCCCGCCTCATCCGTCACCTCCCCCGCCTCATCCCGGCACCTCCCCCCTCCTCATCCCAGTCACCTCCCCCCGCCTCATCCCATCACCCCCTCCTCTCCCAGTCACCTTTCCCCCTCCTCAGCCCATCACCCCCCACCCACCCCCCCTCCTCACCTCATGCACCTTCCCTTCCCATCTCAGGCACCTCCCCTCCCCCTCCCCCATCCCAGTCACCTCCCACCCCTCCTCAATCCCAGCACATCCCCCCCTCCTCATCCCCAGTCACTCCCACCCTCCTCATCCCAGTCACCTTCCCCCCTCCCTCCCCCTCTCATCCCGCACCATCCCCCTCCTCATCCAATCACTTTTCCCCCTTCCTCATCCCAACCACCTCCCCATCCCAGTCACCTTCCATTCCTCCTCATCCCAGTCCCCGTCACCTTCCCCCCCTCCTCCCCAGTCACCATTCCCCCCTCCTCATCCCAGTCACCTTCTCCCCCCTCCTCATCCCGTCACCTTCCCCCCCCTCCTCAGCCCAGTCACCTTCCCCCCCGCCCTCAGCCCAGTCAACTTCCCCTTCCCCCCCTCCTCACCCAGTCACCCCCCCCCTCATCCCAACATCACCTTCAAACCCCCCATCTCAATCACTTTCCACCCCTCTTTCACACCGGTTTTCCTTCACCCTCCTCCATCCTAGTCCCCTTCCATCCACCCTCCTCATCCCAGTCCAACCTTCCCCCTCCTCATCCCAGTCACCTTCCCCGCATCATCCCAGTCAACCTTTCCCCCTCCTCATCCTCAGTCACCTTTCCCCCCTCCTCATCCCCGTCCCCACCCCCCCTCATCCAGGGTCCTCCCCCCCCCCCCCCCCCCCGCAACCCTGCACCTTCCCCCCTCCCATCCAGTCACCTTCCCCCCCTCCTTATCCCTGTCACCTTCCCCCCTCCTCATCCCCTGTCAACCGTCCCCCCCCCCTCATCCCCTACCTCCCCCTCCTCATCCCAGTAACCTTCCCCCTCTCGCTCCCCAATCACCTCCCCCCGCCTCATCCCAATCACCTTTCCCAACTCCTCATCCCAGTCACCTGTCCTTCCCCACTCCTCATCCCAGTCACCTTCCCCCTCCTCATCCCCATTCACCTCCCTCCCATCCCCAGTCACCTTCCCTCCTCAATCCCGTCTCCTTCCACCCTCCACCTCATCCCAGTCAGCCTTTTATTTTTCCACCCTCCTCATATCCATTCTCCTTCCTCCCTCTTATCCCATTCACCTCCAACCTCCTCATCCAGTCAACCCCCCCCTCAGGCCCAGGGTTTCCCCCCTCCTCATCCCAGTCCCCCTCCCCCCCCTCCTTATCCCTGTCACATCTTCCCCCTCCTCATCCCTGTCACCGTCCCCCCCCCCCTCATCCCAGTACCGTCCCCCCTCCCCTCCTCCAGTAACCTTCCCTCCCCCTCTCCTTCATCCCATCACCTTTCCCCCCCCCGCCTCATCTCAAATAACCTTCTCCCCCACTCCTCATCCCAGTCACCTTCCCCCTCCCCATCCCAGTCACTTCCCCCCTCCTCATCCCGTCCAACCTTCCCTCCCCCCCCATCCCCCGCCTCATCCCAGTTGCACCTTCCCCCCCCTCCTCATCCCAGTCACCTTCTCCCCTCCTCATATCCCATCACCTTCCCCCCGCCCTACCTCATCCCAGTCACCTTCCCACCTTCCCGCCCTCCTCGCTCTCTGCCAACTTCCCCCCCTCCTCATCTCTGTCACCTTCCCCCCTCTCATCCAGTCACCTTCCACCTTCTTCACCCTCCTCACCCAGTCACCTTTCACCCCTCCCTCATCCAGTCACCTCCACCCTCCTCAAAAATCCCAGTCACTTCCCCCCTCCTCATTCCGCATCCCACCTTCCCCCCCTCCTCATCCCAGGCACCATCCCCTCCTCATCCCAATCACTTTCCCTTCCTCATTCCCAAACCACCAACCACCGCCCCCATCCCCGTCACCTTCCCCCCTCCTAATCCCAGTCACCTCCCCCCCTCCTCAATCCCATCAAACCTCCCCCCCCCTCCTCATCCAGTCACTTTCCCCCCCCCCCATCCCGTCACCTTCCCCCCCTCTTCAAATCCCAGTCACCTTCCCCCTCCTCATCCCATCACCTTCCCCCCCTCGCTCAGCCCAGTCACCTTCCCCCCCTTCATCTCAATCACCTTCACACCCCCCCATCTCAATCACTTTCCACGCAGGATCTTCACAACCGGTTTCCTTCCACCCTCCTCATCCCTAGTTCACCTTCCCACCCCCTCACTCCCAGTCACCTTTCCACCCTCCTCATCCCAGTCACCTTTTCCCCTCCTCAGCCCAGTCACCTTTTCCCCTCCTCATCCCAGTCACCGTTCCTCCTCATCCCAGGCACCTTCCCCTCCTCATCCCAGTCACCTTTCCCCTCCTCAGCCCATCAACCTTTCCCTCCCATCCCAGTCACCTTGTCCCCCTCCTCATCCCCCAAGTCACCTTTCCCCCTCCTCAACCCAGTCACCTTTCCCCCCCTCATCCCAGTCACCTTTCCCCTCCTCGCCCAGTCACCTTTCCCCCTCCTCATCCCAGTCACCCTTTCCCCCTCCTCATCCCGTCACCTTTTCCACCTCCTCATCCAGTCCACCCCCCCCCCCCCTCTCATCTCAATAACCGTCCCCCTACCCCATCCCATTCACCCTCCCACCCTCCTCATCCAGTCACCTCCCACCCTCCTCATCAGTCAACTCCCCACCCTCCTCATCCCATCCCCCTATCACCTTCCCCCCTCCCTCATCCCAGCACCTCCCCTCCTCTCCCCCATCACTTTCCCCCTTCCTCATCCCAACCCACCTCCCCCCTCCCAGTCACCTTCCATCCTCCTCATCCCAGTCACCTCTCCCCCCCCTCCTCATCCCAGTCACCTTCCCCCCTCCTCATCCCGTCACCTTCCCCCCCCCTCATCCAGTCGGAAACCTTCCCCCCCGTCCTCATCCCATCACCTTCCCCCCTCCTCATCCCAGTCACCTCCCCCCCTCCTCCGCCCAGTCACTCCCCCCCCCCTCCTCATCCCAGTCAACCTTCCCCCCCTCCTCAGCCCAGTCACCTTCCCCCCCTCCTCAGCCCAGTCACCTCCCCCCCCTCATCCCAATCACCTCACCCCCCCCATCGCAATCACTTTCCACCCCTCTTCCACCTGTTTCTTCCACCCTCCATCAGCCTAGTCCCCAGTCCCACCCCTCCTCATCCCAGTCCACCCTTCCCCCCCTCCTCATCCCAGTCCATCCCACACCTTTCCCCCTCCTCATCCAGGCACCTTTCCTTTCCTGTCCCCCTCCTCATCCCACACCTTTCCTCCCCCTCCTCATCCCTATCACCTTTCCTTCCCCCTCCTCATCCCAGTCCAACCTTTCCCCCTCCTCATTCCCAGTCACCTTTCCCCCCCCTCCTCATCCCGTCACCTTTCCCCCTCCCATCCAGTCACCTTTCCCCTCCTCCAATCCCAGTCACCTTTCCCCACTCCTCCTCCTCCAGTCACCTTTCCCCCTCCTCATCCCAGTCACACCTTTTCCCCCTCCTCATCCCAGTCCCCTTTCCCACTCCCATCCCCGTGGACCTCCCCCCCTCCTCTCCCAGTCACCTTTCCCCCCTCCCATCCCATTACCTTTCCCCCTCCTCAATCCCATCACCTTTCCCCTCCTCATCCCAAGTCACCTTTCCCCCTCCTCATTCCAGTCACCTTTACCCCCTCTCATCCAGTCACCTTCCCCCCCCCCCTCATCCCAGTCATCATCACCTTCCCCCCTCCTCATCCCAGTCACCTTCCCCCCTCCTCATACCATTGACCTCCCTCCCCTCCCATCCCCGTTACCTTCACACCCCATCATCTCAATAACGTTCCCACCCCTCCTCATCCCAGTCCCTCCCCCTCCTCATCCCCTATCAACCTTCCCCCCTCATCTCAATCACCTTCAACCCTCCATCTCAATCACTTCCACCCCCTCCTCATCCAGTCCCCAGCCTCCCCCCTCCTCATCCCAGTCACCTTCCCCCCGCCTCATCTAAATCCACACCCCCCTCCTCATCCCATCACCACCTCCCCCCTCCTCAGCCCAGTCACCCACCTCCCCCCCTCCTCCCCCAGTCAACTCCCCTCCTCATCCCAGTCACCTCCCCTCCCCCCTCCTCATCCAGTCCCCTCCCCCGCCTCATCCTCCCAGTCACCTCCCCCCTCCTCCTCCCAGTCACCCCCATCCTCAGCCCCAGTCACCCCCCTCCCCCATCCCAGTCACCTTCCCCCCCCTCCTCATCCCAGTCACCTTCCCCCCCCCCTCCTCATCCCAGTCCCTTCCCCCCTCCTCATTCCCAGTTCCTTTCCCCCCTCTCATCCCAGTCACCCTTTCCCACCCCTCTCTCCCAGCACCTCCCCCCTCCTCATCCCAGCCACCTTCCCTTCCCCCTTCCTCATCTTAAATCACCCCCCTCCTCATCCCAGTCACCCCCGCACCCTTCCTCATCCCAGTCACCCACCCCCCCTCCTCATCCCAGTACCCTTTCCCCCTCCTCATCCCAAGTTCCTTTGCCTTCCCCCCTCCTCATCCCAGTCCCCCCCCCATCCCTATCGTAAATCCCAATCATCTCTCAATCACCTTCACCTTCACCCTCCATCTCAATCACTTTCCACCCCTCCTCATCCCATCACCTCCCCCCTCCTCATCTCAAATACCTTCCCCCTTCCCTCATCCTAAATCACCCCCTTCCTCATCTAAAGCACCCCCTCCTCATCCCAGTCGAACCTCCCCCCCTCCTCATCCAGTCACCCCCCCCCTCTCCCAATCACGTCACCCCCCCCTCCTCATCCCATCACCTCCCCCCCTCCTCATCTCTTTCACCTTCCCCCCCTCCTCACCCCATCACCTTCCACCCTCCTCTCCCGTCCACCTTCCCCCTCCTCATACCAGTCACCTTTCCTCCCCCTCCTCATCCCAGTCACCTTTCCCCCTCCTCATCCCATCACCTTTCCCCCTCCTCATCCCATCACACCTTTCCCCCTCCTCCTCCCATCACCTTTCCCCCCTCCCTCCATCATCCCAGTCACCTTTCCCCCTCCTCATCCCAGTCACCTTTCCCCTCCTCATCCCCAGTACCTTTCCCCCTCCTCATCCCAGTCCGTTTCCCCCTCCTCATCCCAGTCCCTTTCCCTCCCCCTCCTCATCCCAGTCACCTTTCCCCCTCCTCACCCGTCACCTTCCCCCTCCTCATCCCAGTCACATTTCCCCCTCCTCATCCCATGTCCCCCCCCCCTCCTCACCTCAGGCACCTTCCCCTTCCTCTCTCTGCACCTCCCCCCTCCCCATCCCATTCACCTCCCACCCTCCCTCACCCAGTCACCTCCCCACCCTCCTCAGCCAGTCAACTCCACCTCCTCATCCCAGTCACCTTCCCCCCTCCTCATCCCGCACCATCCCCTCCGCATCCCATCCCTTTCCCCCTTCCTCATCCCAACCACCCTCCCCCATCCAGTCACCTTCCATCCTCCTCATCCCAGTACCTTTCCCCCCCTCCTCATCCCAGTCCCTTCCCCCCTCCTCATCCCAGTCACCTCCCCCCCTCCCTCAATCCCGTCACCTTCCCGGGTCCCTCCCTCCTCATCCCATCACCTTCCCCCCCTCCTCATCCAGTCACCTCTCCCCCCCCTCCTCATCTCCCAGTCCCCACCTTCCCCCCCCTCCTCACCCAAGTCCACCGTGCCCCCCCCCTCACCCGTCACCTCCCCCCTCATCCCAATCAACCTTCACACCGCCCCCATCCACTCACTTTCTGTTTCCACCCTCTTCACAACAACACCGGTTTCCTTCCCCCCCACCCTCCTCATCGGTCACCTTCCACCCCTCATCCCAGTCACCTTCCCCCCTACCCATCCCACGTCCCCTTCCCCCCTCCTCTCCCAGGCACCTTTCCCCCTCTCATGCCCAGTCAACCTTTCCCCCTCCTCATCCCTCCAGTCACCTTTCCCCCTCCTCCTCCCAGTCCCTTTCGCCCTCCTCATCCCAGTCCACCTTTCCCCGTCCTACATCCCATCACCTTTCCCACTCCTCATCCCAGTCCACCTTTCCCCCTCCTCACCCATCCGCTTTCCCTCCTCATCCCCAGTTCACCTTTCCCCCCCTCCTCATCCAGTCCACCCTTTCCCCCTCCTCTCCAGTCACTTTCCCCCTCCTCATCCCAGTCACCTTCCCCCTCCTCATCCCAGTCAACCTTTTCCCCTCCTCATCCCAGTGACCATCCCCCCCCGCCTCATCCCAGTCACCTTTCCCCCTCCTCATCCCAGTCACTTTCCTCACCCTCCTCATCCCAGTCCACCTTTCCCCCTCCTCATCCCAGTCGACCTTTCCCCCTCCTCATCCCAGTCCACCTTTTTCCCCCTCCTCATCCCAGTCACCTTTCCCTTCCCCTCCTCATCCCAGTCACCTTTCCCCCCCCTCCTCATCCTACCCAGTCCCTTCCCCCCCCTCCTCAGTCCAGTCACTTCCCTCCTTCCCCCCCTCCCTCATCCCATCACCTTCCCCCCCATCCTCCTACCAGTGACCTCCCCCCCTCCTCATCCCAGTTACCTTCACCCCCTCTCTCCATTCAACGTTCCTTCCTTCCACCCCTCCTCCCCCAGGCACCTCCCCCCTCCTTCATCCAGTCCACCTTTTCCCACCCATCTCATCAACCCCCTTCACATCCTCCATCTCATCACTTCCACCCCTCCTCATCCCGTCATCCACCTCCCCCCTCCTCATCTAAATCACCCCCACCCCCACTCCTCATCCCAGTCACCTCCCCTCCCCCCCTCCTCATCCCAGTCACCACCCCCCCTCCCCAGCCCATCACCTCCCCCCCCCCTCTCATCCCAGTCAACCTTCCCCCCCCTCCTCATCCCGTCCCTTCCCCCCTCCTCATCCGCAGTTCCTTTCCCCCCCTCCTCAATCCCAGTCACCTTCCCACCCCTGCCTCAGCCCAGTCCACCTCCCCTCCTCACCCAGTCACCTTCCCCCTTCTCATCTAAATCACCCCCCATCCGCATCCCAGTTCCCCTCCCCCCCTTCCTCCTCAGCCCAGTCACCCCCCCTCCTCATCCACAGTCACCCTTTTCACCCCCTCATCCCAGTTCCTTTCTTTCCCCCCGCCTCATCCCATTCACCCCCCCCCGCCGCATCTAAATCTCTCTCAATCACACCTTCACCTTCAACCTCCATCTCAATCACTTTCCACCCCTCCTCATCCAGTCACCCTTCCCCCCTCCCATCCCAGTCACCTTCCCCTTCCTCATCTAAATCACCCCCCTCCTCATCCCAGTCACCTCCCCCCCTCCTATCCCAGTCACCCCCCCCGCTCCCAGTCACCCCCCCCCCTCCTCATCCCATCACCTCCCCCCTCCCATCCAGTCCACCTCCCCTCCCCCCTCCCTCATGCCCATCACCTCCCCCCTCCTCATCCCAGTCCACCCCCCTCCTCATCCCAGTCCCCCCCCTCCTCATCCCAGTCACCTTTTCCCCCCTCCTCATCCCAGTCCACCCCCCCCCTCCTCACCTCAGGCCACCGTCCCCTATCCTTCCTGCATCTCAGGCTCCTGCCACCCTCCCCTCCATCCACCTCCCACCCTCCGCATCCCAGTCACCGCCCACCACTCCTCAATCCCAGTCACTCCCACCTCCTCATCCCAGTCACCTTCCCCCCTCCTCATCCCATGCAACCATCCCCTCCTCATCCCAATCACTTCCCCCTTCCTCATCCCAACCACCTCCCCCTCCCAGTCCACCTTCCATCCCCTCATCCCAGTCACCTTCCTCCCCCCCTCCTCATTCCAGTCACCTTCCCCCCCTCCTCATCCCGTCACCTTCCCCCCCCTCCTCATCCCAGTCACCTTCCCCCCCTCCTCATCCCAGTCACCTTCCCCCCCCTCCTCAGGCCCATTCACCATCCCTTCCCCCCCTCCTCAGCACCAGTCAACCTCCCCCCCTCATCCCAATCACCGTCACCCCCCCCACTCCAATCACTTTCCACCCCTCTTCACACCGGTTTCCTTCCACCCTCCTCATCCTAGTCACCTTCCACCCTCCTCATCCCAGTCACCTTCCCCCCTCCTCATCCCAGTCACCTTCCCCCCTCCTCATCCCAGTCACCTTTCCCCCTCCTCATCCCAGTCACCTTTCCCCCTCCTCATCCCAGTCACCTTTCCCCCTCCTCATCCCGTCACCTTTCCCCTCCTCCCATCACCTTTCCCCCCCTCATCCCAGTCACCTTTCCCCCCCTCCTCACTCCCAGTCACCGTTTCCCCCCTCCTCATCCCAGTCACCTTTCCCCCTCCTCATCCCAGTCAACCTTTCCCCTCCGCATCCAGTCACCTTTCCCCCTCCTCATCCGTCACCTTTCCCCCTCCTCATCCCATCACTTCCCCCTCCCTCATCCCGCCAGTCCCTGTCCGCCCTCCCTCATCCCATTCACCTTTTCCCACTCCTCATCCCAGTCAACCTTTCCCCCCTCCTCATCCCCAGTCACCCTTTCCCCCTCCTCCTACCATCACCTTGCCCCCTCCTCAATCCCATCACCTTCCCCCCCCTCCTCATCCGTCCCTCCTCCCCCCTCCTCTCCCAGTCACCTTCCCCCCTCTCAGATCCATGGACCTCCCCCCCTCCGCATCCCAGTTACCACCTTCACCCCCTCATATCAATACTTTCCTTTCCACCCGCTCCTCATCCCAGTCACCTCCCCCCTCCTCATCCCAGTCACCTTCCCCCCTCATCTCAATCCTCACCCTTCACCCCCATCTCAATCACTTTCCCCCCCTCCTCATCCCAGTCACCTCCCCCTCCTCATCCCCGTCACCTTCCCCCCTCCTCATCTAAAATCCCCCCCCCCTCCTCATCCCAGTCACCTCCCCCCCTCCTCATCCCAGTCACCCCCCCCTCCTCATCCCAGTCACCTTCCCCCCTCCTCATCCCAGTCACCTCCCCCCTCCTCATCCCAGTCACCTCCCCCCACCCTCATCCCAGTCACCCCCCCTCCCCATCCCAGTCACCTCCCCCGCTCCTCATCCCAGTCACCTTCCCCCCCTCCTCATCCCAGTCCCTTCCCCCCCTCCTCATCCCAGTTCCTTTCCCCCCCCCTCCTCATCCCAGTCACCTTCCCACCCCCTCCTCATCCCAGTCACCCTTCCCCCTTCCTCATCTAAATCACCCCCCTCCTCATCCCAGTCACCATCCCCCCCCTTCCTCATCCCCAGTCACCCCCGCCCTCCTCATCCCAGTCCCCCCCCCCCCCCTCCTCATCTAAATCTCTCTCAATCACCTTCCACCTCAATCACCCTCCATCTCAATTCACTTTCCACCCCTCCTCTCCCAGTCAACCTCCCCCCTCCTCTCCCAGTCACCTCCCCCCTCCTCATCCCGTCACCCCCCCCTCCTCATCCCAGTCACCTCCCCCCTCCCATCCCAGTCACCTCCCCCCCTCCTCATCCCAGTCACCTCCCCCCTCCTCATCCCCCGTCACCCTCCCCCCGCCCAGTCACCTCCCCCCCGTTCCTCACCCAGTCACGCCCCCTCCTCATCCCATGTCACCTTCCCCCCCCCCTCCCTCATCCCGTCACCTTCCCCCCCACTCCTCAATCCCAGTCCCTTCCCCCTCCTCATCCCAGTCCCCTTCCCCCCCTCGCTCATCCCATCACTTCCCACCCTCCTCATCCCCAGTCAACCTCCCCCCCTCCTCATCATCACCTTCCCCCTTCCTCATCTAAATCCCCACCAACCCACCCCCCTCCTCATCCCATTCACCTCCCCCATCCTCATCCCCAGTCAAACCGTTCCCCCCCCCTCCTCATCCCAGTCACCTTCCCCCCCTCCTCATCTCTGCACCTCTCCCCCTCCTCATCTCTGCTTACCTTCCCCCCCTTCTCATCTATCTGCCACCCCCCCCCCCCTCATCTCTGTCACCTTCACCTTTCACCTTCTCATCCCAGTCACCTTTCACCCTCCTCATCCCAGTCAACCTCCCCCCCACCTCATCCCAGTCACCCCCCCTCCTCATCCCAGTCACCTTCACCCCTCATCCCAGGCACATTCCCCCCTCCTCATCTCAATCACCTTCCCCCCTCCTCATCCCAGTCACCTTCCCCCCCTCCTCATCCCAGTCACCTTCCCCCCCTCTTCATCCCAGTCACCTTCCCCCCTCCTCATCCCAGTCACCTTCCCCCCCCTCCTCATCCCAGTCATCTTCCCCCCCCTCCTCATCCCAGTCACCTTCCCCCCCTCCTCCTCATCCCAGTCACCGTCCCCCCCTCCTCCTAATCCCAGTCACCTTCCCCCCCTCATCCCAGTCACCTTCCCCCTCCTCATCCCAGTCACCCCCCTCCTCATCCCAGTCACCCCCCTCTCCTCATCTCAATCACCCCCCCTCCTCATCCCAGTCACCTTCCCCCCTCCTCCTCCCAGTCACCTTCCCCCCTCCTCCTCCCAGTCACCTTTCCCCTCCTCATCCCAGCCACCTTCCCCCCTCCTCATCCCAGCCACCTTCCCCCCTCCTCATCCCAGCCACCTTCCCCCCTCCTCATCCCAGCCACCTTCCCCCCTCCTCATCACTTTTACCTTCCACCTCATCTCTCTTACATTCCACCCTCCTCATCCCAGTCACCTTCCACCCTCCTCATCCCAATCACCCCCCCCCCTCCTCATCCCAATCATCCTCAGCAATCTACACACAATACCCCATAATGACAAAGTGAAAACAGGTTTTTTGAATGTTTTGCAAATTTATTAAACAGAAATAACAGATACATTATTTTCATAAGTATTCAGACCTTTGCTATGAGACTCGAAATTGAGCTCAGGTGCATCCTGTTTTCATTGATCATCCTTGAGATATTTTTACAATGTGATTGGAGTCCACCTGTGGTAATTTCAATTGATTGGACGTGATTTGGAAAGGCACACACCGGTCTATATTTTTTTACATTTACATTTTTAGTCATTTAGCAGACGCTCTTATCCAGAGTGCAGACTGGGGTGAGTGCATACATTTTAAATTTTTTATACTGGAATTGAACCCACAACCCTGGCGTTGCAAATGCCATGCTCTACCAACTGAGCTAGATCCCTGCCGGCCATTCCCTCCCCTACCCTGGACCAATTGTGCGCCGCCCCATGGGTCTCCCGGTCGCGGCCGGCTACGACAGAGCCTGGATTCGAACCAGGATCTCTAGTGGCACAGCTAGCACTGCGATGCAGTGCCTTAGACCACTGCGCCACTCGGGAGGACAATAAGGTCCCACAGTTGACAGTGCATGTCAGAGAAAAAATCAAGCCATGAGGTCGAAGGAATTGTCCGTAGAGCTCCGAGACAGGATTGTGTCGAGGCACAGATCTGGGGAAGGGTACCAAACATATCTGCAGCAATGAAGGTCCCCAAGAACACAGTGGCCTCCATCATTCTTAAATGGAAGAAGTTTGGAACCACCAAGACTCTTCCTAGAGCTGGCCGCCCGGCCAAACTGAGCCATCGGGGGAGAAGGGCCTTGGTCAGGGAGGTGACCAAGAACCTGCTGGTCAGTCTGACAGAGCTCTAGACTTCGTCTGTGGAGATGGGCGAACCTACCAGAAGGACAACCATCTCTGCAGCACTCCACCAATCAGGCCTTTATGGTAGAGTGGCCAGACGGAAGCCACTCCTCAGTAAAAGGCACATGACAGCCAGCTTGGAGTTTGCCAAAAGGCACCTAAAGACTCTCAGACCATGAGAAACAAGATTCTCTGGTCTGATGAAACCAAGATTGAACTCTTTGGCCTGAATGCTAAGCGTCACTTCTGGAGGAAACATGACACCATCCCTACGGTGAAGCGTGGTGGTGGCAGCATCATGCTGTGGGGATGTTTTTCAGCATCAGGCACTGGGAGACTAGTCAGGATCGAGGCAAAGATGAACGGAGAAAAGTACAGAGAGATCCTTGATGAAAACCTGCTCCAGAGCGCTCAGGACCTCAGACTGGGTCGGCGGTTCACCTTCCAACAGGACAACGACCCCAAGCACACAGCCAAGACAACGGAGGAGTAGCTTCGGGACAAGTTTCTGAATGTTCTTGAGTGGCCCAGCCAGAGCCCGGACTTGAACCCGATCGAACATCTCTGGAAAGACCTGAAAATAGCTGTGCAGCAACGCTCCCCATCCAACCTGACAGAGCTTGAGAGGATCTGCAGAGAAGAATGGGAGAAACTCCCCAAATACAGGTGTGCCAAACTATATAGAGTCATACCCAAGAAGACTTGAGGCTGTAATCGCTGCCAAAGGAGCTTCAACAAAGTACTGAGTAAAGGGCCTGAATACTTATGTAAATGTGATATTTTAATTTTTAATAATTAGCTAAAAAAGTTAATCCTATTTTTGCTTTGTCATTATGGGGTTTTGTGTGTAGATTGATGAGGAAAAAAATCAATTTAATCAATTTTAGAATAAGGCTGTAACCTAAGAATGTGGAAAAAGTCAAGGGGTCTGAATACTTTCCGAAGGCACTGTATGTGTCAGTGTGTTAGAACTGTACTGGTGTTTTAAGCTATTTAGCTATTTCTGTAAGTTTAAGTCTCTCTCACTCTCTTTCTCTCTCTCTCTCTCTCTCTCTCTCCCCCTCCCACTCCCTAGGTGGGGTCAGATTCGTCAGTGAATTTCACAGTGTACTATATGATCAGTGGTCCAGGAGTGACCATGTCCCCGGAGAAGCTTTTCTCTGTGGATCGTGACACAGGCATGGTGCGTGTACACTACCCTGTCGACCGGGAACAGTACCCCAAGTTTGTGGTAAGTGTGACAGACCTTCAGTACAGGCCATGGAGTTGGTCTAAATGAACTCACAAAGATTATAGGCAAGATAATAGCAGTGTAGTCATCTTGTCTGTCTGCTGTCTGTACCTCAGACCAAGAGTGGTGTGTGTGTGTAGTTCACAGCCCAGGTGTTTGACAGGCGGTCAGGGAAGGAGACAGATCGGCCTCTGGACATCACTGTTCTGGTAGAGGATATCAACGACAACGCACCAACCTTCTCTGGACTACTCACTTTCTCTGTGTTAGAGCAGTGCAAACCTGGTGAGTGTGTGTGTGTGTGTGTTTGTGTGTCTGATAGTTTAAGTACAGTATTGATATCTCTTTCTCTCTCACCCCTGCCTCCCTCTCTCCAGGTACTGAGGTAGGAGAAGTGAAGTCTACTGATAAGGATGAAGCAGACACCCCCCACACTAAGATCAGATACACCCTTCTGACTGGTGGTCAGTTCTTCACCATCGGGTCTCACAGTGGGCTGATCACAGCCAGGACCAGCACTCTTGACAGAGAGGTACCATAGGCAGGGCTTCCTTCCTTATTCAACACCCACTTATTTCCCTCTAAACACACCAGCATTGCTGTAAGATAGTTAGCCTATTGTATTGTTGTGCTATGTTAATATTATGTAACAAGTGATTGTTAGTCTCTGTCATTCTAGCTAACTGAATGGTGTACTGAATTTGAGGTAGAAACCAGTATAAACCAGAGCAGACTTCAGTACTCTTGAATGATGATACTTTACTGAGGTTTGCTGTGGTGAAAATGTTGTAGGTCCCGTGTGGCTCAATTGATAGAGCATTGCGCTTGCAATGCCAGGGTTGTGGGAGACCAGAACCAAAAATGTATGCACTCTCGATAAGAGCGTATGCTAAATGACTAAAATGTAAATGTAGTAGAAATGTCTCTCTGTGTGTTTGGGTCTTTCCAGACACAGGTGGTCCATGCTGTTACCATGGAGATCCGGGACATGGACGGAGCTAAGAACGGCCTGTTCAACACTGCTACGGCCACCATCACGCTACTGGACATCAACGACAACCCTCCCACCTTCAGAGAGACCACCGTACGTCACTCCTCCTGCGTGTGTTTAGGATGACGACTATGGACGCATCCCAAATGGAACCCTATTCCCTTTATAGTGCACTACTTTTGACCGGAGTCCATAGGGAGTAGGGATATAGAAATAGGGTGTCATTTGGGATGCATCCGATAAATCACTCATCTTTGATGCAAACTCAACGATATTGCACACAACATAGTAGCAATAGAGTGAATATGTGGAAAACTTTACATTTTGATAACACTTCAGCCAGACAGAAAAATGATATTTACTTAATTGTCAATTGCCACAGAGACAGACATTTGTATTTTTCCTTTATCCCAACCCCCCGCCACACTGCCTACAGCATTTGAAAATGGTAAATAGATTTTCACTTTTCTCAAACATGCTATTCAGGTAACAGCAGAGCTGTAGAGAGTGATTGTCTGGACAGGTTACCAGTTCTTTATCCTGAGGTCCTATTCTAACCTCTCAACCCTTCTGCCATGAGACAGCACTGTTTCTGTGTCCCAAATAGCACCCTATTCCCTGCATAGTGCCCTATTGGCCCTGGTCAAGGGCCCTGGTCAAAAGTTCTGCACTATAATGGGAATAGGGTACCATTTGGGACTTAGCCCGTGCTCTGCCTCTGAGACAGTGATTGAGGACCTCTCGGGCTGGCTTGGCCAGTACTTGTCCAAACTGTAGAGAAGCATCCAGGCACCCTGAGGGCCTGCTACACATACCAGCCAATTATTTACATTTTATTGGCTGTCGGAAAATAACACTGCAGGCTAATCTCTGCGTGGCAGGCCATTTAGAGTGTATTAGTAAATGCATGATTTTGATTGTAAGCAGACCTGCAGAATGTGTTTTAATGTATAGAGAATAACACATAGTAAGGTTGTGAAATTCCAGTAATTTTTCCCAAATTACCAGGTTTTCGAGAAATCCTAGATGAAAGATTCCCAAAATCGAAAGGGAGTAAGCAATAAACCTGGGAATTTGGGAAAGTTAACGGAGTTGTGCAACCCTTCACAGTAGTGGTATTGTCTGACATCTTGGTTTAAAAATACTCTTATTGTTTTGACAAGCGTTTAAGGACTACTGCCCTCTTTTACCCTTTTGACCCTTCGTAGCTTTCCATTCAGTCAAAATGTGTCTAAGCAAAACAGGTATGTGGTGTTAATAAGGCAGTCAACAAATCACCTCAGGGTATTTTCGGTAGGTGCTAAGTGGTCATTATTACATTTACATTTTAGTCATTTAGCAGACGCTCTTATCCAGAGCGACTTACAGTTAGTGAGTGCATACATTTTCATACTGGCCCCCCGTGGGAAATGAACCCACAACCCTGGCGTTGCAAGTGCCATGCTCTACCAACTGAGCTACACTGATATTTATTTAATGTATTTATTTGCACTTAAAAAGAAACATTATACATAAAAAATTAGGTGAAACATAACTGCATGGGCACAGTTAGGGCTCCTCTCTCAATCTAAATTATTTTACAAAATGATTGTTTGTTTCTGCCTGACAGTACAAGGCCACTATAAAGGAGAACAGAGCAGACGTGCTGGTCCTGAGGATTCCTGTGGATGACAAGGACGAGGAGAAGACCCCAAACTGGAACGCCAGGTTTGTCATCACCCAGGGCAACGAGAACGGGAATTTCCGGATCGACACGGACCATGAAACCAACGAGGGCCTGCTCTATGTCGTCAAGGTGACAGAGATAACAACAACCACAGATGAAGGCACTGACACAAACAAATGAATAAAACAAAGATAGTCACACACTTTAAATATGTTCCAAATACTTTTATGTGTATCCTACTATGATTTCATATCTTTAATATTCCATTAGTCAGCACCTGTCCATCTGTTTTGGGTCTGTGTCAACTCTTGCGTTTTACTTGACTGTCACAAATAAAAACACTGCTACAGAGAGAGAGAGACTGAGATACTGACAAAGACACAGAGACACTGACTAAAAGATGAATGATGACATTATAATGTACTCACACTGTTATAATTCAGAGGCAACTCTCTGGAGAGCTGAGCATGGAATTTGTCTTGGCAGACTTCTCTGTGTGTTTGTGTCCATATGCATGGGTGGGTGTTCTCCAGAACAGAACACTCTCACAAGCTGATTTTCTTAGTAAAGGGGCAGTGCAGTCAAAAACGTGATTGTCCTGTGTTTTATATATACACTACCGGTCAAAAGTTAACACGTCCTACTGATTGAAGTTTTTTAAAACTATTTTCTACATTGTAGAATAATAGTGAAGAGACAAACTATGAAATAACATATGGAATCATGTAGTAACCAAAAAAGTGTTAAACAAATCAAAATATATTTCATATTTGAGATTCTTCAAATAGCCACCTTTTGCCTTGATGACAGCTTTGCACACTCTTGGCATTCTCTCAACCAGCTTCACCTGGAATGCTTTTCCAACAGTCTTGAAGGAGTTCCCACATATGCTGAGCACTTGTTGGCTGCTTTTCCTTCACTCTGCGGTCTGACTCATCCCAAACCATCTTCATTTGGTTGAGGTCGGGGGATTGTGGAGGCCAGGTCATCTGAGCACTCCCATCACTCTCCTTCTTGGTAAAATAGCCCTTACACAGCCTGGAGGAGTGTTGGGTCATTGTTCTGTTAATAGTCCCACTAAGCCCAAACCAGATGGGATGTCGTATCGCTGCAGAATGCTGTGCTAGCCATGCTGGTTAAGTGTGCCTTGAATTCTAAATAAATCACAGACAGTGTCACCAGCAAAGCACCTCCTCCTCTATGCTTCACGGTGGGAAATACAAATGCGTAGATCATCTGTTCACCCACACCGCGTCTCACAAAGACACGGCGGTTGGAACCAAAAATCTCAAATTTGGACTCCAGACCAAAGGACACATTTCCACTGGTCTAATGTCCATTGCTCGTGTTTCTTGGCCCAAGCAAGTCTCCTCTTCTTATTGGTGTCCTTTAGTAGTGGTTTCTTTGCAGCAATTTGACCATGAAGGTCTGATTCACAGTCTCCTCTGAACAGTTGATGTTGAGATGTGTCTGTTACTTGAACTCTGTGAAGCATTTATTTGGGCTGCTATTTCTGAGGCTGGTAACTCTAATGAACTTATCGTCTGCAGCTCTGGGTCTTCCATTCCTGTACCAGGCGGTATAAGTTAATAGCTCTCTGGAGAGCTGAGTGTGGAATTAGTATTGGCAGACTTGTCTCTCTCTCTCTCTGTGTGTGTGTGTGTGCATGCATGCTTGTTTGGGTGGGTGGGTATGTGTGTCTAAGTTGTAGCAGTGATAAGAAGTGAGCGTGGTTGTTATTATTAGCTGGTCACAGTGCGTCTCTGCTCTCTGGTAGGTGGTTGTTAAATGTGTCAGAGAATGGAGACATCAGCTTGACCTGAGTCATAACAGGAACATTTTGCACAGGTTGTGTCCCAAATGGCACCCTGTTCCCTATATAGGGCTCTGGTCAAAAGGTGTGCACTATGTAGGGAATAGGGTGCCATTGGGGATGCAACCACAGAGCTCAGGCTAATGCTGACAGAATGACAGCCAGGCTAGACTGAGTTAGTCATGAACCTGTTTTCTTCTCTCCTCTCCCACCCCCTTCCAGCCTCTTGATTATGAGAAGGGGAAGACAGTGAAGCTGATGATCTCTGCCCAGAACGAGGCTCCCCTGGTGGGCATGGCAGGGACCTGGCTGTCCATCCCTGTGGATGTCAGTGTGGGTGATGAGGATGAGGGGCCAGAGTTTACCCCTCCTAACATGGTGATCAGGGTTAAAGAGAACACTCCCAACGGGACCCTGCTCTCCACCTACACAGCACTGGACCCAGAGACCAAGAGTAGCAAGGGGATCAAGTACGGACCACTGTCCCTTGTACACACTAATGACCCACTGTCCCTAGTACACACTAATGACCCACTGTCCCTAGTGCACACTAATGACTAACAGTAGAGTAAAGGAAGAATATAGACCTAAGACTACCCTAAAGCTGGTTACATTAGACTAGATTGAAATGTCATTACAACCACTTTTACCCCATGGGAGTAAATTATACTTTTGTTTAGATTAAATGAGATGTTATGAGATGTTTTCTAGTGTCTCTTATACATTCTTCTATTCATGTTTCTACATGCATATCATGTTGCACTTATCAACCAAAGTTTGGAATGCATCAATAGCTCTATGCTATCTGTTAAACCTGTTCTCGCTCTCTCTCTCTCTCTGTGTGTGTGTGTGTGTGTGTGTGTGTGTGTGTGTGTGTGTGTGTGTGTGTGTGTGTGTGTGTGTGTGTGTGTGTGTGTGTGTGTGTGTGTGTGTGTGTAAGATGGCGCCGACAGACATGGCAGCTCTGCTTCTAGCTCCTAAGCAATTTTGCAGTATTTTGTTTTTTTACAAGCATTTCGCTACACCTGCAATAACATCTGCTAAATATTTGTATGTGACCGATAAAACATTTGATTAGTGTGTGTGTGTGTGTGTGTTGTAGGTACTACACAAAATTTGACCCTGGCTCATGGATAGCTGTGGGGGAGACCACGGGAGAGCTGAGGGTAGCTAACACCATCGACCTTGAGTCTCCTCTAGTTACCAACGGAGCCTACACCATCACCATCAAAGCTGTGGATGAGAGTGAGTGGCGTTTTCACCCAAACTGTTATTACACATGGGCAACCGCACTGGAGAGTGTGTAAAGGATGTCATACATGTATTAATATCAAAGGACACATCTGCCTTTTGGGGTTTAATAACATTTCCCTGTGAGGTTTACAGCTTTACGCATAGTGTAGGTGAACATGCAGTGATACAGTAAAACATGACTTGCTATGCTGACTCCTCCCATCTCTTTGTTTGGCTTGTTATCTTGTGAGGCGTTGCTGAGAACACCTGGAGTAGCTGAACAGGGGTGTGACTGATCTGTGTTTCTGGGTTGTCAATCAGGGTGTGGCAGGCAGAAACTCTCCTTTGTGCTCAGTGTACTTTGTACTTGAACTATTTGCACTACTTTACAACAGTGTATATAGACATATGACATTTGAAAGGTCTCTATTCCTTTGGAACATTTGTGAGTGTAATGAACATTTGTTTACTGTACATTTGTTGTTGTTTATTTCACTTTTGTTTATCTATTTGACTTGCTTTGGCAATGTAAACATACACTAAATATACAAAAGTATGTGGACATCCCTTAAAATTAGTCAATTCGGCTATTTCAGCCACACCCATTGCTGACAGGTGTATAATATCGAGCACACAGCCATGCAATCTCCATAGACAAACATTGGCAGTAGAATGGCCTTACTGAAGAGCTCAGTGACTTTCAACGTGGCACCGTCATAGGATGCCCCCTTTCCAACAAGTCAGTTCGTAAAAATGTTGCCCTGCTAGAGCTGTGAAGTGGAAACGACTAGGATCAACAACAGCTCAGCCGCGAAGTGGTAGGCCACACAAGCTGAATTGTGGCCCATTCCTCCTGACACAGCTGGTGTAACTGAGTCAGGTTTGTAGGCCTCCTTGCTCGCACATGCTTTTTCAGTTCTGCCCACACATTTTCTATAGGATTGAGGTCAGGGCTTTATGATGGCCACTCCAATACCTTGACTTTGTTGTCCTTAAGCCATTTTGCCACAACTTCGGAAGTATGCTTCGGGTCATTGTCCATTTGGAAGACCCTTTTGCGACCAAGCTTTAACTTCCTGACTGATGTCTTGAGATGTTACTTCAATATATCCACATAATCTTCCTTCCTCATGATGCCATCTATTTTGTGAAGTGCACCAGTACCTCCTGCAGCAAAGCACCCCCACAGCATGATGCTGCCACCCCCGTGCTTCACGGTTGGGATGGTGTTCTTCGGCTTGCAAGGGACCCCCTTTTTCCTCCAAACATAACGATGGTCATTATGGCCAAACAGTTCTATTTTTGTTTCATCAGACCAGAGGACATTTCTCCAAAAAGTACGATCTTTGTCCCCATGTGCAGTTGTGAACCGTAGTCTGGCTTTTTTATGGCGGTTTTGGAGCATTGGCTTCTTCCTTCTTGAGCCGCCTTTCAGGTTATGTCGATATAGGACTCATTTTACTGTGGATATAGTTTCTTTTGTACCTGTTTCCTCCAGCATCTTCACAAGGTCCTTTGCTGTTGTTCTGGGATAGTTTGCACTTTTCGCACCAAAGTACGTTCATCTCTAGGAGACAGTACGCGTCTCCTTCCTGAGCGGTATGATGGCTGCGTGGTCCCATGGTGTTTATACTTGCATACTATTGTTTGTACAGATGAATGTGGTATCCTCAGGCGTTTGGAAATTGCTCCCAAGGATGAACCAGACTTCTGGAGGTCTACAATTTATTTTCTGAGGTTTTGGCTGATTTCTTTAGATTTTCCCATGATGTCAAGCAAAGAGGCACTGAGTTTGAAGGTAGGCCTTGAAATACATCCACAGGTACACCTCCAATTGACTCAAATTATGTCAATTAGCCTATCAGAAGCTTCTAAAGCCATGACATCATTTTCTGGAATTTTCCAAGCTGTTTAAAGGCACAGTCAACTTAGTATATGTAAACTTCTGACCCACTGGAATTGTGATACAGTGAATTATAATTGAAATGATCTGTCTATAAACAATTGATGGAAAAATTACTTGTGTCATGCACAAGGTAGATGTCCTAACCGACTTGCCAAAACTATAGTTTGTTAACAAGAAATTCTCAAACTAGACACTAATGTATTTGTCCTCTTGCTAAGTTGTGCACCGGGGCCTCCCACTCCTCTTTCTATTCTGGTTAGAGCCAGTTTACGCTGTTCTGTGAAGGGAGTAGTACACAGCACTGTACGAGATCTTCAGTTTCTTGGCAATTTCTCGCATGGAATAGCCTTCATTTCTCAGAACAAGAATAGACTGACGAGTTTCAGAAGAAAGTTATTTGTTTCTGGACATTTTGAGCCTGTAATCGAACCCACAATTGCTGATGCTCCAGATACTCAACTAGTCTCAAGAAGGCCAGTTTTATTGCTTCTTTAATCAGCACAACAGTTTTGAGCTGTGCTAACGTAATTGCAAAAGGGTTTTCTAATGATCAATTAGCCTTTTAAAATGATAAACTTGGATTAGCAAACAGAACGTGCCATTGGAACACAGGACTGATGGTTGCTGATAATGGACCTCTGTACGCCTATGTAGATATTTCATTAAAAATCAGCCGTTTCCAGCTACAATAGCCATTTACAACATTAACAATGTCGACACTGTATTTCGGATCAATTTTATGTTATTTTAATGGACAAAACATTTGCTTTTCTTTCGAAAACAAGGACATTTCTAAGTGACCCCAAACTTTTGAACGGTAGTGTATATTTCCACAATATGAGGTTGCAATAACACTGTGACATTTTGAAAATTATGATAATACCTTTTTAGTGTAAGAGCCGCCTGCAATTCCAGAGTTTTGGCCTCTCTGCCAATAACAGTTAGTTTTCAGGTTACATATCCCTCCCATTAGGCTCCTCCAACTAGGCCCCTCACTCAGGCCACTCCCAGACAGTCCTAGCAAAATTATTGCTTGAGAAATAGATTTTTTGCTAAGATGCTATTTTTGTTTGACCATTTTAATTGAAATCAATCACAGTAAGGTACTTACTTAATTGTTACCCAGAAATGATTTTATATTTAGATAAAAACGGCTACGTTTGACCTTAACATAACTGCATGTGTGTGTCCAGCACTTCAACTGTTATGACATATTCCACTTAAATAATTGTACTTTTGTTATGTGGCACTATTGTATAAAACAATGGACTTTAGATGTAATAAAATAGTTGAATGGATTACTGAATGAGTAGACGAATGAATTCAGGTTTAAGGTGACATCACGTTTGAATGGATGAGAGATTCCAGGTTTGAATGAACGACTGGATGAATGAGTTCAGTTTTGTATGAGTGAAACCCGAAAAGTGAACCAATAGGGACTGCGGCTCAGAGCCTGAACTTGTTGACCTGACCCCTCCCCCTTCTCTCTGTCTCCTAGGTAAGAAGTCTGGCAATGGCAATATAACGCTGCTGATAGAGGACGTCAATGACAACGTCCCGAAGATCGTCCCGGGAACAGACCTGACGCTGTGTGAGGAGGAGGAGGGGCAGATGGGCTCCATAACCATAGAAGCAAAGGATGCTGACCTATCACCTTACGCTGGACCCTTCAACTTCATGCTGCCAGAGGGGCATGATGGGAAATGGAGGCTGAGAGACATTCAGAGTGAGTAAAGTGGGTTGGGGTTGAAATATGGTTGTGGTTGAATTGTGGGTATAGTATGTCTACATCCAGAGCAGTGGCGGTCGGTGCCGTTTAAGATGAGGGAGGAAGATATATATTTGTTTATGAGCATGGCCTTATTTCTATTACAGCATATTGGATGACTGTCATTCATATTCCATTCACCCAGCTCAATGTAACATCGATAGGTTTAGGCTACTACATGATACAAAAATGTTCCCTATACCCATCATGAGGTTGCTACAATGAACGTTTACAACGTAGGTGCACAGGTTGAGATAATTTTTTGTAATCAAGGTGACAGACAGTGACACACACAGTACCGCCTTGCTCACTCTTGCCTGCATCTAGGGTGTAATCATTAGATCAACAGTTGCAAACGAGAGTTCAGGTATGTTTTCCCTGTTTTGTTCCATTTGCTTCCGTTTAATAAACGTTTTTCAATAGAATTGGCGAAATGAATACACCCCTGATCACACACAAACACAGTTCACTTTCATACAAACAGCATGATCACTTTGCTTGTTGTAATTCCTTCTCGTATCTATGCGCTCTCCTCCTCTTTCACCTTTTCCCTTCACTTGTGGACTTCAGTGTACAACACATCAGCTGTCTGTGACCAGGCGAAAAAACCTTTCCAAGCCAAACCTTCCTATCATAACCGCTACACACAGCCTACCTACATCGTTGTCACCATATTATCTAACGTCATAGTCAACATAGCTAATAGAAATAACACATGAGTAATCCCGCTACAGTTACAGTGGGGAAAAAAGTATTTAGTCAGCCACCAATTGTGCAAGTTCTCCCACTTAAAAAGATGAGAGAGGCCTGTAATTTTCATCATAGGTACACGTCAACTATGACAGACAAATTGAGATTTTTTTTCTCCAGAAAATCACATTGTAGGATTTTTAATGAATTTATTTGCAAATTATGGTGGAAAATAAGTATTTGGTCACCTACAAACAAGCAAGATTTCTGGCTCTCACAGACCTGTATCTTCTTCTTTAAGAGGCTCCTCTGTCCTCCACTCGTTACCTGTATTAATGGCACCTGTTTGAACTTGTTATCCGTATAAAAGACACCTGTCCACAACCTCAAACAGTCACACTCCAAACTCCACTATGGCCAAGACCAAAGAGCTGTCAAAGGACACCAGAAACAAAATTGTAGACCTGCACCAGGCTGGGAAGACTGAATCTGCAATAGGTAAGCAGCTTGGTTTGAAGAAATCATCTGTAGGAGCAATTATTAGGAAATGGAATACATACAAGACCACTGATAATCTCCCTCGATCTGGGGCTCCACGCAAGAGCTCACCCCGTGGGGTCAAAATGATCACAAGAACGGTGAGCAAAAATCCCAGAACCACATGGGGGGACCTAGTGAATGACCTGCAGAGAGCTGGGACCAAAGTAACAAAGCCTACCATCAGTAACACACTACGCCGCCAGGGACTCAAATCCTGCAGTCCCCCTGCTTAAGCCAGTACATGTCCAGGCCCGTCTGAAGTTTGCTAGAGTGCCTTTGGATGATCCAGAAGAGGATTGGGAGAATGTCATATGGTCAGATGAAACCAAAATTGAACTTTTTGGTAAAAACTCAACTCGTCGTGTTTGGAGGACAAAGAATGCTGAGTTGCATCCAAAGAACACCATACCTACTGTGAAGCATGGAGGTGGAAACATCATGCTTTGGGGCTGTTTTTCTGCAAAGGGACCAGGACGACTGATCCGTGTAAAGGAAAGAATGAATGGGGCCATGTATCGTGAGATTTTGAGTGAAAACCTCCTTCCATCAGCAAGGGCATTGAAGATGAAACGTGGCTGGGTCTTTCAGCATGACAATGATCCCAAACACACCGCCCGGGCAACGAAGGAGTGGCTTCGTAAGAAGCATTTCAAGGTCCTGGAGTGGCCTAGCCAGTCTCCAGATCTCAACCCCATAGAAAATCTTTGGAGGGAGTTGAAAGTCTGTGTTGCCCAGCGACAGCCCCAAAACATCACTGCTCTAGAGGAGATCTGCATGGAGGAATGGGCCAAAATACCAGCAACAGTGTGTGAAAACCTTGTGAAGACTTACAGAAAACGTTTGACCTGTGTCATTGCCAACAAAGGGTATATAACAAAGTATTGAGAAACTTTTGTTATTGACCAAATACTTATTTTCCACCATAATTTGCAAATAAATTCATTAAAAATCCTACAATGTGATTTTCTGGATTTTTTCCCCTCATTTTGTCTGTCATAGTTGACGTGTACCTATGATGAAAATTACAGGCCTCTCTCATCTTTAAGTGGGAGAACATGCACAATTGGTGGCTGACTAAATACTTTTTTCCCCCACTGTATGCAGTAGAGTATACAGTCAGCAAGTTTCACTATTTTTATTTTTATGACAAGGGGTGGTGGTCTGTGTCTATTTGTCAATAACTGCTGGTGCGCAAAATCTAATATTAAAGGTCTCGAGGTTTGGCTCGCCTGAGGTAGAGTATCTCATGATAAGCTGTAGACCACATTATTTACCAAGAGAGTTTACATCTGTATTTTTCGTAGCTGTCTATTTACCACCACAAACCGATGCTGGCAGGAAGACCGCACTCAATTAGCTGCATAAGGTCATAAGCAAATAAGAAAATGCTCATCCAGAGGCGGCGCTCCTAGTGGCCGGGGACTTTAATGCAGGAAAACTGAAATCCGTTTTACCAAATTTCTACCAAGATGTCACATGTGCAACCAGAGGAAAAAAACTCTAGACCACCTTTACTCCACACACAGAGATGCGTACAAAGCTCTCCCTCGCCCTCCATTTGGCAAATCTGACCATAATTCTATCCTCCTGCTTACAAGCAAAAACTAAAGCAGGAAGTACCAGTGACTCGCTCAATACGGAAGTGGTCAGATGACGCAGATGCTAAGCTACAGGACTGTTTTGCTAGCACAGACTGGAATATGTTCCGGGATTCATCCGATGGCATTGAGGAATATACCACATCAGTCACCGGCTTCATCAATAAGTGCATCGATGACGTCGTCCCCACAGTGACCGTACATACATACATACATACCCCAACCAGAAGCCATGGATTACAGGCAACATCTGCACTGAGCTAAAGGGTGGAGCTGCCGCTTTCAAGGAGCGGGACTCTAACCCGGACGCTTATAAGAAATTCCGCTATGCCCTCCGATGAACCATCAAACAGGCAAAGCGTCAATACAGGACTAAGATTGAATCCTACTACACCGGCTCTGATGCTCGTCGGATGTGGCAGGGCTTGCAAACTATTAGCTGCCCAGTGACACAAGCCTACCAGATGAGATAAATTACTTATAAGTGCGCTTCGAGGCAAGCAACACTGAAGCATGCATGAGAGCACCAGCTGTTCCGGACGACTGTGTGATCATGCTCTCCGTAGCCGATGTGAGTAAGACCTTTAAACAGGTCAACATTCAGACAGATTACCAGGACGTGTACTCAGAGCATGGGCTGACCAACTGGCAAGTGTCTTCACTGACATTTTCAACCTGTCCCTGACTGAGTCTGTAATACCTATGTTTCAAGCAGACGACCATAGTCTCCGTGCCTAAGAACACCAAGGTAACCTGCCTAAATGACTACCGACCCGTACCACTCACATCTGTAGCCATGAAGTGCTTTGAAAGGCTGGTCATGGCTCACATCAACACCATCATCCCAGTAACCCTAGACCCTCTCCAATTTGCATACCGCCCCAACAGATCCACAGATGACGTAATCTCTATTGCACTCCACACTGCCCTTTCCCACCTGGACAAAAGGAACACCTACGTGAGAATGCTATTCATTGACTACAGCTCAGCGTTCAACACCATAGTGCCCTCAAAGCTAAGGACCCTGGGACTAAACACATCCCTCTGCAACTGGATCCTGGACTTCCTGATGAGCCGCCCCCAGGTGGTAAAGGTAGGCAACAACACATCTGCCACGCTGATCCTCAACACGGGGGCCCCTCAGGGGTGCGTGCTTAATCCCCTCCTGTACTCCCTGTTCACCCACGACTGCATGGCCAGGCATGACTCCAACACCATCATTAAGGTTGCCGACGACACAACGCTGGTAGGCCTGATCACCGACACCGATGAGACAGCCTATAGGGAGGAGGTCTGAGACCTGGCAGTGTGGTGCCAGGACAATAACCTCTCCCTCAACGTGATCAGGACAAAGGAGATGATCGTGGACTACAGGAAAAGGAGGGCCGAGCACGCCCCCATTCACATCGACGGGGCTGTAGTGAAGGCGCTACAGAGGGTAATGCGTACGGCCCAGTACATCACCGGGGCCAAGCTTCCTGCCATCCAGGACCTCTATACCAGGCGGTGTCAGAGGAAGGTCCTAAAAATTGCCAAAGACTCCAGCCACCCTAGTCATAGACTGTTCTCTCTGCTACCGCACGGTAAGCGGTACCGGAGTGCCAAGTCTAGGTCCAAAAGGCTACTTAATAACAGCTTCTACCCCCAAGCCATAAGACTGCTGAACAGCTAATCAAATGGCTACCCAGACTATTTGCAGTCACTTTACCCCTACCTACATCTACAAATTAACTCAATTACCTCGACTAACCTGTACCCCCTCACATTGACTCGGTACTGGTATCCCCTGTATATAGCCTCGTTATTGTTATTTTATTGTAACTTTTTTATTTAGTAAATATGTTCTTAACTCTTAACTTAACTGCATTGTTGGTTAAGGGCTTGTAAGTAAGCATTTCATGGTAAGGTCTACACCTGTTGTATTCAGCGTATGTGACAAATGTGATTTAATTTGAAGACTATATCTAGAATTTAAATGACCATAGAACAGATTACTAGATCCCAGATTGCCCTTTTAAGCCCAGTGGAACGGACAGAAGGCAGTGAGTGTTAAGAGGCCTGTGTGTGAATGCGTCCTAAATGGTACCCTATTCCCTTAATAGGACACTTCCGTATGTGACCTGGTCAAAAGTAGTTCACTATATAGGGAATAGGGTACAATTTGAGACGCAGCCTTAGTGTATATTATACAGAGCCAGACCTCTGTGTGTGTATTGTTTGTGTATCAGCCATGGCCAGACCTCTGAAGCCTCACAGGAGAGAAATGTCAAACTAAATGTCAGGCAGCACAGAGGAAATGTCACCCTTCATTTAGTGTGTGTGTGTGTGTGTGTGTGTGTCACCCTCCACTTATTGGCAGAGTAAATACATCTGTGGATAAGTCCCAAAACAACAATCACAGGCTGCCATGGGCCCAGCACACAGTGGGCACATAGACACAGGTGCATGCAGGCACACACACACAGTGACCATAGAGTCAGATACTGGAGGGGATAGGGATTGAGATAAATAGACACATCACACACCATAGGGCCCTCACACTGCAGGGCCCTCACACTGCAGGGCCCTCACACTGCAGGGCCCTCACACTGTGGGACCCTCACGCTGCGTGCCCCTCACGCTACAGGACACTCACGCTGCAGGACACTCACATGACCCCATGGCACATATCCACACGCTGCAAAGCACGTAAACTCAGCAAAAAAAGAAACGTCCTCTCACTGTCAACTGCGTTTATTTTCAGCAAACTTAACATGTGTAAATATTTGTATGAACGTAACAAGATTCAACAACTGAGACATAAACTGAACAAGTTCCACAGAAATTGAATAATGTGTCCCTGAACAAAGGGGGGGTCAAAATCAAAAGTAACAGTCAGTATCTGGTGTGGCCACCAGCTGCATTAAGTACTGCAGTGCATCTCCTCCTCATGGACTGCACCAGATTTGCCAGTTCTTGCTGTGAGATGTTACCCCACTCTTCCACCAAGGCACCTGCAAGTTCCCAGACATTTCTGGGGGGAATGGCCCTAGCCCTCACCCTCCGATCCAACAGGTCCCAGACGTGCTCAATGGGATTGAGATCCGGGCTCTTCGCTGGCCATGGAAGAACACTGACATTCCTGTCTTGCAGGAAATCACGCACAGAACGAGCAGTATGGTTGGTGGCATTGTCATGCTGGAGGGTCATGTCAGGATGAGCCTGCAGGAAGGGTACCACATGACGGAGGAGGATGTCTTCCCTCGAACGCACAGTATTGAGATTGCCTGCAATGACGACAAGCTCAGTCCAATGATGCTGTGACACACCGCCCCAGACCATGACGGACCCTCCACCTCCAAATCGATCCCGCTCCAGAGTACAGGCCTCGGTGTAACGCTTATTCCTTCAACGATAAACGCAAATCCGACCATCACCCCTGGTGAGACCAAACCGTGACTCGTCAGTGAAGAGCACTTTTTGCCAGTCCTGTCTGGTCCAGAGACGGTGGGTTTGTGCCCATAGGTGACGTTGTTGCCGGTGATGTCTGGCCCTCAGTCCTGCCTCTCTCAGCCTCAGCGGACAGTCTAAGCACTGATGGAGGGATTGTGCGTTCCTGGTGTAACTCAGGCAGTTGTTGCCATCCTGTACCTGTACCGCAGGTGTGATGTTCGGATGTACCGATCCTGTGCAGGTGTTGTTACACGTGCTCTGCCACTGCGAGGACGATCAGCTGTCCGTCCTGTCTCCCTGTAGCGCTGTCTTAGGCATCTCACAGTATGGACATTGCAATTTATTGCCCTGGCCACATCTGCAGTCCTCATGCCTCCTTGCAGCATGCCTAAGGCACGTTCACACAGATGAGCAGGCATCCAGGGCATCTTTCTTTTGGTGTTTTTCAGAGTCAGTAGAAGGGCCTCTTTAGTGTCCTAAATTTCATAACTGTGACCTTAATTGCCTACCGCCTGTAAGCTGTTACTGTCTTAACGACCGTTCCACAGGTGCATGTTCATTAATTGTTTATGGTTCATTGAACAAGCATGGGAAACAGTGTTTAAACCCTTTACAATGAAGATCTGTGAAGTTATTTGGATTTTTACGAATTATCTTTGAAAGACGGGTCCTGAAAAAGGGACTTTTTTTTGGGGGCTGAGTATACATACTGTGCTTGGCACACAAACACACACTGTGAGGCGCACACAACTACCACAGGAGAGTACAAAATATGGAGGGAAACTCTCTGAACACTGAACATTCCAAAGGTTATCTCCTCATGGTGCATTTATACCCTGGATACCACAGTAATCTCTCTCTTTTTCTCTCTTTCTCTCTTTCTCTCTTTCTTTCATTGCCCTCTGTAGACGGGTCAGCAGTGCTGGAGCAGGTGGTGGAGATGGCCCGGGGTGTGTATGCGGTCCCTGTACGTGTGACTGACCTCCAGGATAAGGGCGGGGTCCAGGTGCTGTCTGTAAGGGTGTGTCAGTGCCTGGGGGGAGAGTGTGTAGCCAAGAGGAGCTCTGTTTCTGTGGGGATTTGGGGCGTCCTGGCCATGCTGCTGGCCTTCCTGCTGCTCCTACTGCTCTGTGAGTAGGAATGGTGGATACACACTAGCACATGCCCGCACATGTGCATTAATCGCATATCATATCCTGCATCACTTAGTCACATCAGATACTTTGTCAGTTTATTCCTGTACTACATCAGATACTACACAGAGTGCACATACCATTTTATCAGATATGAATGACATATCCTACATTTATACTTCACATCTATAATTTCAGGCAATTCTCCATTTATATGGATTTATGTAACTAACATATTTGCTCTCTCATATGCAGGTCTATTATTTGTGTTTTACTGCACCACTAAGGGAGAGAAGATCTACATGGAAGACTGTAGTGGTGGCATGCTGCTGAAGTCTAACACAGAGGCTCCTGGAGATGAAGTGGTGAGATCAGCTTTCCTCTGGACTAGCTCCTCTATCATTGATGAGTGTGTGTACTGTGTTTGCGTGTGTGTGAATGGGACTGTCATTATCATTGTCCTTATCCTCTGTTATCGCTGGTCAGAAATCTGCGGCCCTGCTGATTGTACCTTCCACCGGTGTTGCCGTGGACACAGTGGATAGCTCCATGAAGGGGGCAGGGCTGGTGGGGCTTCTGAACCAGAATGGGGCGGGGTGTCCGGCTCCAGGTCCTCCTCTGATTGGTCAGCAGACGATCAATCTGAATCGGGAGAGTGTGTATCAGACGAGCAGTAGGCAGGACTTCCTGACAGCTCAGGGACAGAGCTTTTACTCCACCGGACAGTACGGGGGAGGTAACTTCTACACAGACACTACCTTCCTCAAACAGTCCCAGGCTTCCTCCACTCTCTCCGCCCTGCACACCTGGAAGACCAACGGACTCTACCTGGGCAAGGTAAACCATTTTTTTAAAAACATGTTGCTTTGGCTGTGGTTTTTGTGATAAAATTCAGATTAATGGATTGCATTTGTAGATTTAGTCTATATGGGCTGCTTCAAAAGAATAGCATTTCAGCACTCAATTTGTCATTCCTGTCAAGTGCTTTTGCAAGACATAACTGCGTTGGTGTGACGACAGTTAGGACCTGGTTGTATTCCTAAGCCGTTCTGTAACCTGTGTTGACACCTCTGTTTTCTCTGTCCTGCAGAAGCTGGTGTATTTTGGAGATGAGTCAGAGGAGCGTTATGCGGACGACGTGGCCCGGGCATATGATTACGAGGGAGAAGGGTCACCGGCCGGGTCAGTGGGGTGCTGCAGTGACTTTGGTGACCAGGATAACCTGGACTTCCTGGACTCACTGGGGTCAAAGTTCAAAACACTGGCCAACATCTGCATGGACAAGGAGGAGGAGATCTGAGACCGAGATGGGATGAGAACACGAATAAAGAACACAACTAACAGGAACACAAAGCAACTAATGAGATCAGAACCTTCGAGAGAAAGACAATCAGTAAAATCAATGGAAGGTGAATGCCAAGAGCGTATCAGTGAGTGAGACTGATGATAGATCTGTTGTTTTGGAAGGGAGATAAAGATATAGCAGGTATTCTCTCTCTCCTCAGTCTACTACATTACCTAAAGAAGAGTGAAGAAGCGAGACATCACCCAGACTATTCTCACTCTGAGGTACACATGCTACTGGCTCTTTTTGTGCTTTGATCTGGTGTCTGTTATGCTCTGCTTTGACACCAGGGGGAGTATGTCCCTGTTTTTACTGTAATACAACACTGGCCAGGATCAGTGTGTGTCTGTGTGTGTGATATAGATCATATTGCTGGAGTTGTCATTGCTGAATGTGTAACATGATCTCTGAGTCAATTGGTTTCTATAGGAGACAAGATAATTCTTCATAATTGCTGCCGTTTGTCAAGGGCTCACACTGTCTTGTCTTTTTCTAATGAGAAAATAAATGGCAATTTAAGCAGAAAGAGGAGAGCTGTGTTTTGTACATTTGCACTTAAAGATAATGCAGAGTATTTTCCTATTGTACGGTCTGCTTCTTGAATGTTTGTGTGTCTTAAATTAAACCCAAAGGTATTTTGAAAGAGGGAATAGAGGGGGAGAAGTGTGTGCTGCCAGCTGAGGAAATAGAGAAAATAAAACAGTAAAGAACGATGATTGCTCTTTCTAACACCGAATGGAATTGTAATGAGGTTCTCAGATGCCGCCTGCGTGCGTGTGTGTGCGGTGTTTCTGTGGGGCTGTAGTGGAGCGGGTCGAGAGCTTCAAGTTCCTCGGTGTCCACATCACTAAGAAATTATCATGGCCCACACACACCAACACAGTTGTGAAGAATGCATGACAATGCCTCTTCCCCCTCAGGAGGCTGAGAAGATTCGGCATGGGCTCAGATCCTCAAAAAGTTTACAGCTGCACGATTGAGAGCATCTTGACTGGCTGCATCACCGCTTAGTATGGCAACTTCTTGGCATCTGACCGCAATGCCCTACAGAGGGTAGTGTGTATGGTCCAGTACATCACTGGGGCTGAGCTCCCTGCCATCCAGGTGTCAGAGGAAGGCCCTAAAAATGGTAAAAGACTCAAGACCCAAGTCATAGACTGAAACCAACAGGTGTGGTAGTGGGCGTGGCAAATGGCGCAGTCTCCAACCAAGATTATTCAAGGCCCTCCTCTTGGCCGCAGAGACAAAATGTTTCTGTTTTAAAGCTAATTTCCTACAATTCTACATATTTTTCAATGGTTTATGCAGTCTACTTCTGCTATCTGAGGGCCTCAAACATTATAACACAATTAATGGGGGTACCATGACATCTTTGGAAATGTAGATGTTCCATGAATGTCTAGTTTTTATTTAGGTGATTTTTATTTCTCAAAGATGATCTTATTTAAAAGTATATAGCTCCATTATCTTTTCTGCATACTTTATATCTGGTTTTAGTCAGTTAAGTTTACAGTCGTGGTCAAAAGTTTTGAGAATGACACAAATACTAATTTTCACAAAGTCTGCTGCCTCAGTTTTGATGATTTTGCATATACTCCAGAATGTCATGAAGAGTGATCAGATGAATTGCAATTAATTGCAAAGTCCCTCTTTGCCATGAAAATGTACTTTTCCGCTGCATTTCAGCCCTGCCACAAAAGGACCAGCTGCCATCATGTCAGTGATTCTCTCGTTAACACAGGTGAGTGTTGATGAGGACAAGGCTGGAGATCACTCTGTCATGCTGATTGAGTTAGAATAACAGAGTGGAAGCTTTAAAAGGAGGGTGGTGCTTGAAATCATTGTTCTTCCTCTGTTAACCATGGTTACTTGCAAGGAAACACATGCCGTCATCATTGCTTTGCACAAAAAGGGCTTCACAGGCATGGATATTGCTGCTAGTAAGATTGCACCTAAATCAACCATTTATCGGTTCATCAAGAACTTCAAGGAGAGAGGTTAAATTGTTGTGAAGAAGGCGTCAGGGCACGCAAGAAGGTCCAGCAAGCGCCAGGACCATCTCCTAAAGTTGATTCAGCTGCAGGATCGGGGCACCACCAGTGCAGAGCTTGCTCAGGAATGGCAGCAGGCAGGTGTGAGTGCATCTGCACGCACAGTGAGGCGAAGACTTTTGGAGGATGGCCTGGTGTCAAGAAGGGCAACAAAGAAGCCACTTCTCTCCAGGAAAAACATCAGGGACAGACTGATATTCTGCAAAAGGTACAGGGATTGGACTGCTGAGGACTGGCGTAAAGTAATTTTCTCTGATGAATCCCCTTTCCGATTGTTTGGGGCATCCGGAAAACACCTTGTCCAGGGAGAAGACAAGGTGAGCGCTACCATCAGTCCTGTGTCATGCCAACAGTAAAGCATCCTGAGACCATTCATGTGTGGGGTTGCTTCTCAGCCAAGGGAGTGGGCTCACTCACAATTTTGCCTAAGAACACAGCCATGAATAAAGAATGGTACCAACACATCCTCCGAGAGCAACTTCTCCCAACCGTCCAAGAACAGTTTGGTGACGACCAATGCCTTTTCCAGCATGATGGATTACCTTGCCATAAGGCAAAAGTGATAACTAAGTGGCTCAGGGAACAAAACATCGACATTTTGGGTCCATGGCCAGGAAACTCCCCAGACCTTAATCCCATTGAGAACTTGTGGTCGATCCTTAAGAGGCGGGTGGACAAACAAAAACCCACAAATTCTGACAAACTCTAAGCATTGATTATGCAAGAATGGGCTGTCATCAGTCAGGATGTGGCCCAGAAGTTAATTGACAGCATGCTAGGGCGGATTGCAGAGGTCTTGAAAAAGAAGGGTCAACACTGCAAATATTGACTCTTTGCATAAACTTAATGTAATTGTCAATAAAAGCCTTTGACACTTATGGAATGCTTGTAATTATACTTCAGTATACCATAGTAACATCTGACAAAAATATCTCATAACACTGAAGCAGCGAACTTTGTGAAGACCAATACTTGTGTCATTCTCAACTTTTGACCACGACTGTACACTGAAAATGTTTTATAGGGGAAACACTGGTTTGTGTCTCTGTCTTAGTTCCTCTGGGATGGAGTAATTGGGATATTGCGGAGATGGGAGTGATAAACTGCTAATACAGTAGGTGCTATCTGACATTCATGGGGAATGTTGAACATGTTTAGATGTGATTTTCCTTTTTTCTTTTCCCTAGAACATTTTGTGTTGATGAATTTAGTAATACCACTACCAGTAATTTGAATCAAGCCAATTTAGACAACATATTAAAGATCTTGTTTAAAATAAAATAAATGTATATACTGCATAAGTTGTGCTTTTTGTGGTTAAGTATTTAGTTTTACAGTAAACAATGCTGTAATGGTGTCATGAGAGTTGTTGATATGGCTGAAATATTAATTTTTGTTCTAAGTGTTTCACTTACCAGATAAACATTCATTACTATTAGATAGCAGAGGAGATGGAGGCAGACCGGCACCGACATCTCAGAGCAAATGTGACTGTTCCCATCAGACTGAAACTCAGTACATCTATCACACTAATGCATGCTTAAATGTTAATGACCTAACCCACTGGGCACATACTGGTTGAATCAACGTTGTTTCCACGTCATTTCAATGAAATTTATTTGTAAGTCGCTCTGGATAAGAGCGTCTGCTAAATGACGTAAATGTAAATGTAAATTGAACTTACGTGGAATAGACGTCTGTGCCCAGTGGGAAAGATCACTACCGTATGCAAATGCTGCCTTTTGAAAATATGGTAAATGAAGTAGAGGGAGTACATATTTCTTACCGCAATCAAACCAAATGAACACTTAATATATACTATGATAACTCTCATAGACATGTTGAAATTATTCTACTCATGCGCTATCTCTCGTTTTGAACGTGTGTTTGTGTGTGTGTGAGAGAGAGGGGGCGAGAGAGATGTTGACTCAAGATGGAGATGGCACGCTGCAAAATCATGAAACAAGAAAACCTTCAAGGATTATTTCAGGTCATTCCCAGTGGGTGCAATTAGGACATTTTGAAGAGCTCAAACACCTCTCTAAATTCACTGGAGCATCTTGGCTAACACTGGCCCTGAGCACTCATTTTGTGTCCGAGTAGGCAGTGGCCAGGGGCGGGATACAGGCATTGGATGTCTCCTCTATAGTGCAGAGGGGGAATGTGTGTGTGTGTGTGAGAGAGATACAGACACCCACACACAGCGAGACGCAGAGAGAGAGAGGGCGAGAGAAAGAGAGAAATAGAAACAAAGAGATGTTGACTCAAGATGGAGATAGCAGGCTGAACAGTTAGTCGGAGGGAGAGTTGTTCAACAGGGACCAGCTGATGTGTCAGCTGCACTAGGGATTAGGGAGTCATTCCTTCATAGCCACCTGTTATTCATTCAGCTGCTCTGCCACTGGGGAACCTAGTGGAGGAAGAAAGCTGTTACAAAACTCAGAATGTGATATGCATACAAACATAAGGCACAATAAAGAACACAGACATACTATAGCAATACAGTAAGAAGTGTCTTTAATGTTTTAAAAAAATGCATTTAAAGACACTTCCACATAACCACCATTAGCCATTATTTATTATGTAGGAAAATGAACGTAAACTGCTCACAAAACTGTTCATCGCTCGCTGCAAAGTCATGAAACAAGAAAGCCTTCAAGGATTATTTTAGATTATTCCCAGCGGGTGCAATTAGGACGTTTTGAAGAGCTCAAACGCCTCTCTAAATTCACTGGAGCATCTTGCCTGAGACTGTAACACTGGCCCTGAGCACTCATTTTGGGTTTCAAGTAGGCAGTGGCCAGGGGCGGGATACAGGCACTGGACGTCTCCTCTATAGTGCAGAGGGCGTGTGTGTGTGTGTGTGTGTGGGGCTTACGTGTATTTTTGTCTAGTAAAACT